GTGGTGGTCGTTTTCCATAATATATTATATAATACAGACGTCATATATGTATATTGCATATAGGTACTATAAAAAATAGATATAATTAATATGTAGACATGTAGTTTCGCCTTCCACCTTTCGTACCTAGTCAGAAGTCACGTGTAAATAGTATTTAGTATTTACATAACATAATAAGTTTATCGTCACAAACCTAATAATATGAGATATCAGAAAGGAATTATTATTTAATAAAATATGTTGTACAACATAAAGCTTCATATAGTTATTATTTTGTTTTATAAGACACCTGATACTCAATCTATAAAGACACAACCTATACATTTTGTTTGATATAGATGACTGTAGCTCTGCTCAATTACTATTTAAATCGTACCTATAAGTTATATTCTACCACAGTTATTCCAACCGTACCTATTACTAAGGTAATGAAAAATAAATTACTATAAATGCAATGAAAATGTATGTGTCCTGTATGGTAAAATATCTTTAGTAATATAGGCGAATATATTAGTATACAGTATCAGAATCGTTATTTAAACCTACGTTTATGATGCATCATTGAATTAAAATTTAACACAACCATTACAGCGACCTACTCAATAAATTACGAGGTATACGATCTAAAGTCCACACCTACAACGATACAGCAGAGTGACTTATTCGGTTTTTAATTATACGATTCTATGTAAAATATATTTTTTCTAATAATTTATCATAACAATTAACAAACATTTACTGCAATGTTTTCAATTTTAATTGAATTTGTCAAAGATTATTTGATTTTTTAGTTACACTTCTGTTTACTTTTTGTGTTATAAATACTGAGTCAATAAAATAAAATATTGTCGATTATTATGGATAGTTGTATAGGTGGTACTAGTTAAACTTTTGTCAATTTTTAATTGTTATACCAACATATTTACAAAATATATGTGAGGGGATGAGAATTCCTTAGGAAAATTATATCTGATATTAATTTCCAAATAAAATCTTAATTTAATGTGCTCCGATTCTAATAATAATTTTAAGTAAATATAAAAATGAACATGTTTGTGTCAAAAATTCAAAAGTTTATTGTTTAAACGATTTCAAGGTATTTTAACAACTGTTCAAACAGGTTTTTCTCTCTATTTATTGGTTTAACTGTAATATGCTCTTGGCGACGCACTAAACCTAGTCGGACGAATTAACATGTACCTATACAGTATACATACAACAGACAGTTGTCACGATAGGTACGTATAGTAAATTTGCATTTGTTATTTATTGTTGTGTGGAAATAAACGGAATATTGCAAGTAGGTAATTAAACTCTATTATATGCTATAATATCAAAATTCAGCAAACACTGTTGACCGGAGCAGCGTCTTGTGAGTATACATAATATATATGCGTACAATACATTATACACAAATTACTCTATAATCGATACTAATACACTATACGTACACGAAAGCGTAGTCTAAAAAACTAATAATTATACAAAAATGTGTGGAATACTATATAGCGTCATACCTACGTATAAAACCTTGAGATTATTTAACAATAAATAATATGAATTATGATGAATATTTTTCATTTCCACATTAAGCTGTTCCGATTCACGAACTTTAGGTAGGTATATGCGTATATGTATTATTATACAAATCAAATGATAGCCGGTACGCACTGAAATAAAATCTAAACCGACATACTTTTGTATGCATACAAAAGACTATTGAGGAAATCCGTCATTATTCAATAAAACGTATATGCCCAGAAAACTGGTTTGTTGCGAGCATAATTGTTGAATTGTGCTAACATGGAGTAGTGGGACAATATTGTACAATACATGTCATACGTCATACAGCATAATAATATAGTACTGAATTAAATTTCATATTTTCGAAGTATTAAATATTTCTATAGTTACAGTTTTTTGTTGTTTAATAAAATAAAAACAAATAATGTTCTCCATTTAATCACATTATAGTTTGCAGTGAAGTGCGTAACTTTTATAGTTGGTAATTGGTATAGGCACCTTTGTCATATTCCATAATATACGCTTCGATAGAAATTAAAACAAATAATTGATTTATATTAATATAGGTTTGATTTTATTTATCTAACGTAGAACATCAAAACATGTGTTGTTGGAAGTTTGGAACTATAAACTTTTAATAACTAACTGAAAATATAGTGGTTTTTAAATATTTCAAAACAACGGAATATCATGTTAAATTATCATAACTTATTTCATGCAGTACCTATATTATGCACAAACGTTTTAGCCTTTGTCACGCTAAATTCTACAATACCATAATATTATTATAAAATAAAATTAGTTAGTTCATAATTGTTTTTTTTAATACTCAACTTACAGACATTTTCTGTCCAAAATCATTAATATAATATACCTAACATAATATACTTACATAAATAATTTATTCTTAGAGTGGTTCATTATCTAAAGTAGGTTATGACTGTAATAATTAATAGTACGTCGAGTAATTGTAGTTAAATGAAATTGATTAATAATCTAAATAATTACTCGTTATACTATACGTTGTATTATACTCGTTGAATAACGCATTTGATGGTCTTTGTAGTTGTATGAAGTTATTTGAGGGAATTGACCCTCCCTAGTGATATAATACTTAGTACATAGCATACTTTTTAATGAGTGTATACTTTAGTTTTTTGTTATATGGACGACTGTTATAGGACGTCTATCAATAGCTATAAAAAATTTTACGTAATTAATAATTATAAACGTGTATTTGATTAGCCAATACATTTTTAATAATAATAAGATGTAATTGTTAAAACTGTGATTTACTTTTCTGGAAATTCCAATAAGATTTATAATAATAAAAAAGGTGATCTGCTGTACAGTAGGTTACAAGTGGGTCACTGCATAATGTATGATATTAAATTTGAATTCAACGATATAATATCATTGTATAAGAAAAACAATTCTGAGCGGAGACGGTATGTTAGTCTAGGTATAACTGGTATAAGACATATTTTATACATATCTATGGAATTTTTAAAAATATTGACCTATAATAGGTACCTATAATAAATTCCAAATTAGTCATATCACAATATCCATTAGGTACTTATAACGCATTATACATCAACAAAAAACCGTGATACTATCACAGATATATAATGGTACACTTTAGAAGTTTCAAGTACCGACGAATAATATTATACAATTACAACAAAATAACTAGGTTTTTTAATATGTAATTTCGTTCAAATTTGAACTTAAAATTACTATAAAAATAAACTGTGATTGTGTATTTTTTAGATTTTTTGGTAACAGAATTAACTATTTACAAGAAATCTTGTTTTAAATTTTCAATCCTTAGATATGAAAGTTGTACATTTTATAAATTTCTACCTACAAAATAATTATTCAATTTTAAATTTGATAAATTTTGTCAAAATGTAATATTTTTCAACTACTATTGTAACAATATATCAGGAGCCGTGTATTAAATTTTTACACTTTTTGACCCAACAGATAAAACTTTATTGATATTCATAGAAAAAAAAAAAAAAAATTGAAATATGAAATTGTCCGTAAACAGCTCAAAAAGAGTCAAAATATTTTCAAAATTGTATGGTGTATAGGAAATGCTAATATAAACATTTAGTAAAATTGTCATGGAACTACAGTTATTCGTTTTTGAATTACAGCAAAATAAGGAAATCGCTACATGAGAAGTCGAATGAATATCCAATGTTGTAAAAATTTGAATTTCAAACGCTCATAAAAATTTAATTTGTTTTTCTTATAGACATTTTATTTTTGATTAAAGTAGATAATCTTATAAGGAATTTTGTGTTACATTTTAAAATCTTAGATTTAAAAATAAAATGTACGAATTCATAACTCAAAATAATTTGCTAATTTTCGTGATTTTTCCACATTTTGTGAATTTTTGAACTTTAAATGCTTATAAAAAAAAGTTGTGACTAAGGATTTTTAATATTTTTTATCTGCCTTTGAAACAATATACTAGAAGCCCTCCTATTAAATTTTCAAGCTTTTTTTAACCAACAAATAAAATTTTATTGATATTTTAAAAAAAAAAACTAAAAAAAAATGGAAAATTAAAATGTTCCTAAACAGTTCAAAATATATTGTAATATTTTGAAAATTTCATCGTGTATAGAAAATGAAATTATAAACAACCAGTGAAAATGTCATGTACATACGTTCATTTGTTTTAGAGTTATACCAAAAAACCAAAATCGATTTTGTGGAAGACCGATTTTGCGTAAAAATTCCTGTTTTTCCTTAATTTTTATGTTGTTTTTCACGGCGCGTTTAAAAACTACTGGAAAAATTTTACTTTTGACCCCCCAAAGTACCAACTAGGTTCACTTTCCTATCAGAAAATAAAATGTTGAAGAAAATCCAAGCACTTTTACTATCCTAAAAGGTGATGACGGACACAAAAAAAAAAAATTTTAAATAAAACACACATCATTGTAAAATCAATACATAATACATTCATCGTTCCACTCAAAATCTAAAAGATATTACAATCTAGGTACAACTCTTGAACTCTCTCAAAGTAAATTATTAAAATATGTTTTAGTCCATATAGGTACTTAGAATTAATATTATTATATATTTATATATACCTACACGCGATTTATCTTATATATTATATTATATACAATACAAGTAGGTACCTATGTTATACCTACTCATATTAAATAATTATAATATAATATTATAAATTATGTATAATGTATAACCATTGAATATTGATATTTATTTACATGATTAGTATTCATAATCAATGGTATAAACACGTATAAATATGTAATATACATTAGATGTAGGTACATGCATTTTTTAGAGATACACACTCCGCATTCGTATAGAATAAAGGAAAAAATTCTAAATTATAATACACTATTATTACTTATAATTAGACTCTAGAGTATATAATATTAAAATAATTAATTCAATATATTAATCTGTTACTATTTTAGGTGATAACTACTCCTAGTAATTCTAGTGGAACATTAAATCCTGAAGCACACGAATTCAAGTATAAGTCAATGACTGCAAATCTATCAAAGTCTGACGATGAACCAAATAAAAAAAAAAATGCGGAAACCGGAAATAAGAATAAAGGTAAATATCATTTTTAAAAAACAATGAATATGATTTTATCCTTATTTCACATTTATTGTTTTGTTCGCGGATTTTTGTGTTATAACTTAAAATATGTACCTGTGTATTATGTTAATATAAGTATTGTACTTTTATTTGGGAAATAATTAATTATAAATCATACAGAAAATAAAATGTATCTTACAAATAAAAATATATTTGTGTCGTGTGGCATTTAACATTTTAAATATTTCAATTGTGGTTTGTGAAAATGTAAAAGTTTGACAATGATTCATTGCTGCACCGCTGCTATAATATACTTTCGAAGTGAACGTAATATTGAGCTGAAAAATAATATCGATATTATCGAACGCGTAAATTATTTGATTCAAAAAATTCCGGTCGAACACAATGTTTTAGAAAAATAATCTCGAGGAAAACTTTCACCCTAAAAAATGTGATAGCAAATTACGTATGCGTGGGAGACTATATTGCGACGCTTCGTTCTCGTAGGAAACAAACACTATGATACGATAAGCCGCGGCTATAACCGTGTTTTTTTTGATAGTAATTGGTTAGCGAGTACACGATTACGAACCTGAATGGCTACTCAAGTAATATTATAACAGTTTAATTGTTTTACATTATAAAGAAACCCTTTAACAACCAACAAGTAACGCTGGCTAAATGTTAATAGCGTGAACACATTTACACTCATTATAATATGGAAATTGGTTACAATTTGGTTGTTTTTTTACTCGGGTGCATAACAAATAACAATACAACATTAGGTGTAGGTAGGCATTAGGACCATATAAGATAATATATAATAATATAATATATTACACTTATATAGGCATGTATAGGTGTAAGTTACTATGTCCACCCGCATATTCACGAGGTACTTTTATTAATGTTGAAAAAAAAAAGAATAATGTACACTCACACCGCTGTGAAAAATGGGTAGAGTGAGTGGTTAATCGACAGCGACATCGACCGAAGAAAAATCCGGGGGTATATTATTACCCATTTCATAAAATACATATCCGCGTAGGTACTTACACGAGTAAAACCTAATAACCTATCACTATTATCGTAATTCATATTTTGTCAGAGTGCAAAGTAGGATCCGAAACTCAATATCATAGAGTTTAGAGGAAGTAAAGACTTGCAGAAAACATTATTACATAGGTAATAATATTATCTTCCCAGGGCTTATACCTAACCGTGTTAACCACTCTCCTTTACAAACAGAACGCGTTTACAATATTGTACATCATGATTTATGAACGATCGCATTGGGTATACATATGATGCATACCCTGCGACTCTGAGAAAGAGCCCATTTATATTCCCTTGCACGGTATTTTTCTTAGAGAGCTCAATGCTAATAAATTTCAATTTTCGTTTCCAAAAAATGGATATGGAAATACATTTTATTGAAGAAGTTATATTATAGACGAGTTCAAAACCCTTGTCCTGGTAAAATGGCGCCTTAAACTTTGATCGACAAATATTTTTTATAAAAAGTTACTGCCTAATACATTTTAATGTTTAATCGAAATATACATTTTTTTGTAGTATTGATACTGCACTTACTAATTTTTTTGTTGGAAGGGCTTATTTTTTGTATTTTGCACATGTCTACGCACAGTGCACGCCTATGATTTACATAATATATTATGTTTAGTTTTTATAAAATTCTTAGATTACGCCACTTAATGATTGCGCTAAACGTAAATTAAAAATTAAAATTAATAGTTACCTATCTAATGAAGTAATGAATACAATAAAAGCAAATCAAGTGGAATATTTTGAGGGGGAACAAACGCTTCAAGCCAAAGGGACTTTTGTTGTCTCTCATTATAGGACGAGTGGCTATACATTTATCAGAGAATTCAGAGAAAAAAGTTACTACATCTTATATAAGTATATTTTAGGGATGACGGCATATTTGAAAAATGTTGTACTGGTCATTGTTTTTTGTAACAGCTACATTTCACACCAACTCGAGAGAACTTAATAAGCCACCACTGATATACACGGCACCTACGGTCGAGTCGTATTTTTTTATAGTTTAATGTTTTACCAGATTGTGTCGGTGTCTACTGTCTAGTAAGTAGTAACACGGAAAAATAGTAATAGTCAACAATTTGACTGGATGTTTTGTAAAAAAAAGAGTGCCTTAACCAGTATAAATGTATATTTTTTAAATTCTTAAATTATATTCATCTCTTTACATTTTCACCAATAAAACGTCCAGTTTTTATAATATTTATCAAAGAACCAGAGAGCAATATTTTGGAGGGCGTATATTTTAATATTAATTCTTAAAAAATGTAAAATCATAGGTAGCTGCATATTTCAATGTTTTTCCCATGCATAAATGCATATTTATTTTAATCCCATTTTTGTGTGCACACAAAAACCGGGCTTTTGAATCGACTTTTGAGTCCTACACGGCCACACGGGTGTTGGCCGTTGGGTCGTGCTATAGATCGAGACGACCGTGTGAAATCAATACGGCGGCCATGCCTAATAATAAGTAATAACGCCTTTCCGCGTGCAGCCACTCATCGGCTGCCTACATTGACCGTGATATAAACGACAAGGTGTGATCGGGACTTTTTGACGGTCAGATCCTCCGGTAAGCACGTCACGTAGCGTCACATAATATAGTAATAATAGTTCAACGACGGTAAGATAACACTGGGAAACAAGACGTGCATTGTGCGCACACTTGAAGCAATCCTGGACCATTGCGATCGTTACACGTCGTTTTTTTGTTTTCATCACGACCCCGACTGCCGCAATTTACAACTACTGTTGTAGCGCAAAATATGTGCAAATGTGCAACAATAGTAAAATTCTTCCGGTCGGAGGAACCCCGTCGTTCACGGTGTGGCGCGACTGTGCGAGCCGTTCTGGCGGCGAATTGTTGATCGAGAGTGGTGATAACGTGATAACCATATTATTATCACGGACTAAGATATACAGGACTGGACACGAGATGAATATTGTGGTTACGAAATGTTTTACAACAGGCGGAGTTCGGGGGGATATTTTCCTTTTAGCATTACTAGCGCCGTCTTAGTGGATACTTATGGAACTAGAAATTTGTATGATGTGTTCTAGTTCCATAAGTATCCACTAGGACGGCGCTAGTAATGCTAAAAGGAAAATATCCCCCGAACACTGCCTGTTGTAAAACATTTCGTAGTCAACCCCCCCACACCCTCCAACCTTGTCGTGTCCAGTCCTGTATATCTTAGTCCGTGATTATTATTGTCTGATACGGAGAGTCGTGATAGGCCGCCGCGTATACAACCTCACTACGTCTTGTACTTACTAGACGGCTCTTCGCCGAACGGGACGTGCGGCGCACAGATGTCGCCACCGTCGGAATTTTTGTCTTCCATGGCCGCCGTGAACTCTGTGGCATGTGTTCGTGTTGTCGTCCATTTTGCAAGGCTATAATATTTTCTATCGCAAACGCGCACGAATGATATCCCACTGAAATACGTTGCACACTCGCCGTCCGATTGTTGTTGTTGTTGTTGTTGTTGTTTTTCTCGTCGCTGTCCCGTCCGGGTTTTTCACCGTTCGGCGGCGGTGTGTGCGTCCTTCGTCCGCCCGATTTTCCCACGCACGCGTTTCTCGGGACCGACGACTCCCGGCGGGCAGCAGCAGATTCGCGCGCGGACCACGACGACGGAACACCAAACCGCATTTTACGGGCGTACGGTGGATCTGTAAGTACCCCAGCAGGCTGCGGTCGTCGGGTCGCCGACTGGCAAACGGCAGAGAGAGGTCGAGTGCCGACGAAACTGGACGAATCTCCCGTCCGGCGTGGTTTAATAGCGACATACATAACGATAATTATATATAGCTACGTTTGGACGTTTGGACTCCCGTGATAGTGGTCGTGTGCGTGTGTGAGCGCGCGCGCGTATGTGGTGAGTGCGTGTGCGTCCGTGTGTGTGAGTGTGTACGTTCGTGCCACCGCCGCCGTCGTCTACTGTCTAGTCATATAAGGCTACTCAGTGGAATTTGGCGTGCGTGCACATGGTTTAGCTTCTACGGCGGTGTGGACATACTACTCTGCGGGCAAACGGCAAATTAAAAATCAAAAACCGCAGCAGCAGCCACTCTACGGTCGTAAAACATGGTGTTCGCCGCGATCCGCAGCTGAGAAATAATACACCTCGCCGTGTGTCGAAAACGCTACGTATCTCGCGTAAAAATTCTCGTGTTTGAGAGTTTCTGTCGTCGTCGTCAATCCCGTCCGTCGACGGTTTCGGTTTGTTTTTCTCCTGCTTCTGCTGCTATTATAAATGTTCCAGCGCAAGGAGGCGGCCGAAACAGCAGGTAAGCGCCCGGTGACCGCAATCGCAGTGTCCCATACCGTAGTATTCGCAGTAGTAATAATACACCTAATAACATAATAAGCCCCCAGGGGGGAGGGAGGGGGGTGTTCTTCGCGTCCTCGGGGGTCGTGTCCGTCTCGTGCCCGGCCCGCGCGCGCGCGTGGTGTAACTACACGACGTCCGGGAGGATCTTCGCACGGGATTCCAAACGGTAATTTTTCTAAAATTCTCCACAATCGCGGCGCGATATCACACCCGTCCCACGAGCGTGGTGTGAGTGTGCGTATTATATATAATCAAATCGGTCGCCATTGGCATTCGATAGGTTCGGTGTGATAGGCGTACACTGTGTGTAACTATACAGGCTGGCGTGCGTATAGGTTAACCCGTCGAGAAGTCGTACTCGGCTGGCTGTGATAACCTACAAATATATATGTGTGTGTGCACCACACCGAAGGTTTTTTTTTTTTTTTCCGATTGCGATTTTTGCTCTCGTCCGTCGGTTCCAGTCGGTCGCCCTTTACAACACCACACGGGTTTCTTGTATTTTACACTCAAATATTATTACGAACATTTACTTTTATTTGTTCATATTATAATCATATACAACTTGCGCTACCTCTATAATATATTATAATACTCCGTAAAGTGTAATATCGTGTAAGTAATCTGTACCGTTTTCATGTAGGTAGATTGTACATACTATTATTATTATTATTATTATTATTATTATTATTACTATTACTACTATTATTATTATTATTGCTGCCACCACACTTGCATATTATTGCTGACGTTTTTCTATGGAGACAATCTCTATTCTTATAATATTGTTTTAATTTTTTGTACCGTTCAACTCTTGTTTTTGTCTGCCGGTAGATAAAAATATTTTGAAGATCAGTGGATCGATCGTTACCTTTCTATCGGTGTTTGACCAGCAATTCGACTGTTATCCTCCTCAAATTTCTAATTGTGCTGATCCGCTTCTCATTAAAATTGGTTTGTTTTTCACTCGGTCCACGCCCCTCAAAGTCTTGGGTTTATCGTGTTCCGTTTCACTCCCCGATGACCTGACTTCTGAAAGTTTCTTGTCTTAAAATTTCTTTTGACAAGCAGTTGTGGAACTATTTGTGTTAAGTGTTCTTTGAGGTGCTAAAATCATCCGGTAACTCAATAGTTTTGGTTTTATATCGGGTATAACCAGGTGTTTCGGGTAAATATTTTCCCTTGTTATATTCTGATGTATTGCCTGTGACAATACTGGGTACCTATAGTAATAGCCAGTTATTTAAATATATAAAATGAATTTTTTTTTATAGAGTACCTATATTTGTACAATCTATTATAATATGATGGATATCTAATATAAAGGCACCCATCTGTTATAAAAAGATACATCGATGGCGTAGCACACAAGTGTGATAAGTGACATTTTTTTGAAAAATGAGTTAAGTGCATAATCAATTTAATCATACAATTCTGCACATTATGCCCAAACGTTGTAAGTGAATAGTTCATTATTTACTCCGATAGATGTTGTACAGTTCGTTACATTTTTGAATTTGTTATAACATCTCAAACTTAAAAATCGTTCTCCTGAACAATTACAAAAATGTTACTTATCACACTTGTGCGCTACGCCATCGACATAATATCCACAGAGTTATACTTTAGGACAACTCATCAAAATATTACCCTTCAAATGGTACCTTATTTGAAAACTCTGAAGGCACACATTTTCCTTAAACCTTAATGTACCTATGTTGTATATTAGAAAATCTAATATTATTTGTTCAAATTGTGTAATCAAAGCTCTAACATTAGTACTTGACTGTGGTTAATATAAATATTGGTATGAAGGCATTATTTACACCTAAATTGAAAGTTGAAAGAAAGACATAATTTTTACCAAAATATTAAAATATTATTGCAAACTGTTAAATTTATGCCACCATTAAACCTTCTCACTATACCAATAATTCAACGTTTTCAAAAAATGCATACTCTTCAAACATTTTGCCCCCACATACCTAAACCCTTCTGTTATAATATATTAATTAATGTTACCTTTATGTACCCATTTATACCACAATATGAATTCTTCAAATTAGGCTTTAAATATCCAATAAAGGATCGCCTACTCATTTCCAAATTTAGGTACCTATGTTATGGACTATTTTATCTAGTTCATTGTGTATAATATTTTATTATTATTGGATAAGCAGTACTCAGAAATTGTAGAATATTGTGTACGTTCTGATATATTCCTGTGTAATCTTTGAATATAATTTTACTAATACTAATGCTTTTTAACACTGCTACAATTTAAAATACAATTAATTTCATTAGTTTAGGGTTTTAAGTTAGATGGAGGTTAGGTTAGGATAGATGAACAAGCCGGGTTCAAACTACGCCTTGTCGTGTAAAATAATCACGGTTACCACAGTTACCAAACGATACCGCATAGTTGAATAAATATGAATATATTCAACTATGCGGTATCGTTTGGTATCCGTGATTATTTTACAGGGCATTGTGTGGTGTGAACTTTATTGTGATTTTGATTTAGAATTAGATGGGTAACCTGGTTCCAAATTATTTAGGTATTTTAAGAATTGGAGGTAAATTAATGATATGATTACAAATTTTATTGTGAAAGAATGTTTAATCAATGTTTTCAATGAGTTTTTTATGTTGTCCATTCAAAAAAATTTAGGAATTTCCTTAAAATGTTATTTCATTGTTGGCTCATTAATTTTTTTTACTTCTACTTGGAACTACTTAATTAAGGCATTAAATTATGATCATTACATTAAACAATTTACTGTATTTGTTTTATATGTTGTACATTTTGATATTTGGTTAATTTTCTGTCTTCACAGGATATATGTACATGAATGGGGACGTAGGAAAAATTTCAATTGGGACACATTATAGTCCCTCCGAACCACTGACTGTTTCTACTGCCACGAACACTTCTTACAGGTAAATGTAAAATGTTTCAGTTTTATAAATACTTAAAAATGTATAGAATATTAATAGTAAATTGAAATGCACATTATTAGAACCTAATGATTTATAAACAATTTTCATTATGGTGTCGAAATGTTGCTAAAGTATTTTATAATCTTGTACAAATACTTGTGTAAATAGATTTATTTTAAATTTATACATTGTGCAAGTGACAATATTTTTTTATGTCAGCTTTAAATTGTATTAAAAGTTTATAATTGTCAGGGGCACTCAGGGCTATGATTTTAAAGATTTTGTGGATTGATGAATTTAATTTTGAATACCTAAATAATAAGTGGGATACAAATTTTATTCAACACAATATTTCTGACATTCTAAATTCAAAATTTGTCTTGTGTCTTAAGTACTTCTGCATATAAAAGCTTGAAATGTTTTTATTTTTAATGCATATTTTTTTTTTTTGGGGGGGGGGGGAAGTATCGCCTAATGTGATGCCTACCGACATACCTATTTGAATAAATGTTTATTGGGGCATAAATTCTTCAAAACGATAATTATTTTTTATAGGTACCTATAGCTTAAATAATATTTATTTATTTTTCTACATTTTTTTTCATAATATATATTTGTTTATTTTAAATTTTAATATTTTATACATACTGCTGTTTATAAGGTACCTTCGAGCATAATTTTTTAAGGCATATTTATTATGTTTATTTTGTAAGTTTGAATAATTTTGATTAAATATTAGGTAAGTACCTATAATTTATTCCTTTACAATATGTCTAATTAATAAAAAACAATTTACTGAAAAATTTATTTTTTTTAAATTATATTTATTTTGATCAGAAATAGTGTTTGTTTTTCATATACTGATCAAAATATTTCACTTATTTCAATGCTTTAAATCTGAATTTTTTGGAACACATTTAAAAACTAAAACTGGGCCAATACATATAACCGATAATTTATTCAAACCGGTACAATGAACGTCACATATAAATTTGTATGTAAAAATTGTGATTAAAACGATGATGCTACTTTTAGATATCATTTGGTTCACAGTAATCACAGCACTATTGCAGTTTAAATTCAATTTCGTGTATCCACCATCATGTGCTTGCAAAACAATAATGTTTTGTTTTTTTACCACCGTTATAATTTCTCATTAATAAATGATATCCAATAAATTATTATATTATTATATTATTATTATTATTATTATTATTATATTTTTTTTTTTTTTTTATTGGATAACCCGCGGCAACATAGGCCATTGGGTGTTGGTGGGGAACTGTAGGTTTTTAGATTGGGTAGGTTGGTACACGTGTGTGTTTGTGGTGGCAGAATTTTTATTGGGGCACCCGTAGGTTTCTGCCATGCCCCGGGTTGGGGGATGGCGGCACTTGTACTCCGGACACCGTGACTTGCCCGGAGAAAAATGCCGCCCAGTGGTCGAGAGGCGAACCCGCGACTGCCAGAGCCGCAGTCGACGCGTTAGACCGCTCGGCCACCTCGTCCCCCATTATTATATTATCAATGGTTATAAAGTGTAAATATTAATTAATACTATTATCATATATTACGAGCTGAACACATGGAATTTACCGTAAATTGATATTATTATCTTTATCTTTAAAAGTTAAAAGTTATATGAAGATTTGTCTTGTTTGTTGTTATTATTATTATTAATTATTTAGAAGTAATTTGATGATTTATAAATATATTTTTTTTAAAAGATTATTTATATTTTGTACCTAGTAGAAAATTAATTATCTTTGCGGGAATTTTAGATGTTTTGATACCTCACATGGTTTATATTTATTATATCGGGTATTGAAAAAAAGAGTTATCAACCCAGCTCTACTAAAAACCCTTAAAAATCAGAACAACTGAAACCCATAAAACAAATAATTTTTTTTTTAAATCTTTATTATTTTTTATTTTATCTGCATTTTTGTAGATCATTTTTAAAAATATTTTTATTGCCAAAATTAATGCACATTATTAGAACCTAATGATTTATAAAAAAAATTCATTATGGTGTCGAAGTGTTGCTAAAGTATTTGATAATCTTATACAAAATACTTACATAAATATATTTATTTTACGTTTATACCTTGTGTAAGTGACAATTTGTTTTTATTATATATCAATACTGGATATTTTTTGGATTTATTATCAGAACTTTGAATATTTATTTTGCATACTTCAGTCATTCTTGCATAGTAATATTTTTATTGTATTGGAAAATTTATGATTTTTTTCCGTATTAGGTATAACATTCTGGTTAACTTGAAAATAACAGACCAAGATCCTATATTTTTTGTCTGTATTTATGAGGTTAATTCTTTATTTGTTAAAATTTTTTCTATTGATAGAATTAATAGTAAATTAAATGCACATTATTAGAACCTAATAATTTTTACAAATTTTTCATTATGGTGTCGAAATGTTGCTAAAGTATTATATTATCTTAAACAAAATACTTATATACCAAAATATATTTATTTTACGTTTATACATTGTGTAAGTGACAAATTGTTATTATTAAGAGGACATCATACCCACTATGTTGTCTCAGTCTTACACACGCACTACATAGACAAGACGTTTACGCAGTCTGAATAGAACTCTCTCAATTTTGGTTCTAGTGTATAAATACCTACTATAAAATTGAATTGGGACAATATTTCTAATGGTAAGTCGTTGAGGTTTTTTAAGAAAATTTAAATTTTAAAAATGTTGAAATTTTTGCTATTTTTAAACGATATAATGAATGTTATATTAGTTATAAATTATAATTTAAAAAACACAACGACTTACCCTCAGAAATATTGTCACAATTCAATTTTATAATAGGTATTTTTACTCTAGAACCAAAATTGAGTGAGTTCTACTCTTACTGCATAAATGGGTATTGTCTTATGTCGTCTGTGTGTAAGATGGAGACAACACATGTGGGTGTGACGTGACGTCCTCCTAATTATTGATACTGGATATTTTTGGTATTTACAGTCTTTCATCAGAACTATGAATTCAATAATTTTGTGACTGAATTTCAAATTAATTATTTATTTTGCATATTTAAAACATTATTACACATTAATGTATAATATGTTTTTATTGCATGGTAAAATTAACAAATTTGTCCAATATTGTTATAATATTCTGGTTATCTTGAAACCCATATTATAATTTTTACTTAAAAAAGGTTTCTTTTTGCACCTATTTTATTTTTTTTATGTGGTTAATTCAATTTCGTTGTTAGTTAAATAATAATTGAAAGGTATTGACAAGCTTTCAATGGTTTTTGATTTTTAAGTGAAATAATCATTTTTAGGGGTAGACAACTATTAATAATTATCTAAATATATATTATAATTTTGTAATAACAACAACCCTAGTTATGTTATCATAGTTTTGTAAGACAAATATTGTAAACAAAATAGATACATGGTTCTGAAATGAAGTTTTACATAGACTGATTGACAGAATTAACCTGAATAATAATGGTTGTAAATATTTGTATGATGGCTCAAATTTGTATTCATTTGTTTAAACGCTCAGCACCTAAAACCCGAATAAATGATTTGGATACAAACCCTTACTTATTTAACTTAATAATAAAATAACAAACTAATAATGTGTAGCTTATGTGTTTATGAAATCTATAAAGATATTATCTTTAAAAATTATTTTAATTATATGACAAATTAGGTAGATACTTACCTTAAGTCAGTGATATACAAACTAATATAGTACAACATACTCTCCTTTGGTTATCATTAGGGTCGATGGCTTTATCGTCGGTATACCAGTTGTACATGAAACATGATCATACTTCCTGCTTTGGGTGGGACAGTCCGTTTTCTAGCTGTCTCCAGTTTTCTAGCTATAAACATACTTAGCTTTCATACATAACATATAGATTAAATATAATATATTCAAATTTTGGGTACCTTATCATTTAACTTTTATTGTTTTTAAATTTTTGAACTTATAAATAATTAATAGTTACCTATATTTGAATTTAGGATATCAAACAAAAGGGAAAATACACAGTTAAAGATTAGCAAACTGAAGGCCAAGGTTGCAAGACCATAGTATCAATGACTCATAGGCCAATTAAATAGTTAAAAAAAATCAGCTTTTGCTAGTGCACACCCTCCAACCCCTCAAATGGCGCTCCTGGTCTTTGCATCTATTACTCGTCATATAATATATTATAATATTTATATATACTAATTAGGCATAACAATATAATAATATACACTAATAAGGTTTAACAATCGCCGAGAATATAGTTGCTGATAATTGCTAGGTATAAGTATTTACACTTCTGGGCAAAAAATCTTTCACACGAAAATGTTTGTATAATAATTGTAGAGCATATTTTATGTCTGCCAGGCTACCTGATCCAAAAATTATAGAAAACTGACCCACTAAAATTCCCAAAATTAGGCCTATTTCAATTTTCTAGTTTTTACATTTTAATATACATTAAACATAGTTAAACAAAAATATTTAGTGCAGTGATTGGGTGAATTTAGCAGTTAGTAAGTATGCCACAATGTCACCATAGTATATTAAATATACCAGAGAGTAGAATCCAATTCTACTCGTGGCATGTGTTTTACCATTTAATTACAAGCACTTAAATCACTTCATTTGATTTAAAATGTGTAATGGCAGTTATGTGAATTAAAAAGGTCTTGGAGGTTAGGTTAAATGTTGGATTAGGTTATGACAGATATAAAAATATCTTGGTAGACTCAATCAGGTATACATTTATACTAAATTTTTAGATAATTGGTTATGACTTATGATTATCATGATTAAATATTAAATATCTTTGGGCATATCAAAGATATTATACACAAGTCGCAATTATAAATTATAATTATTAGACATAGGTGTATACTGTATATATATATAAATATATTGTAAAATATTAACTTTCCATATATTAATACCTGTAAAATGTATTGTTAAATTATATTAAAATTATTTGTTATACATTTTTAGTTCCATAAATGGAAGTTATGAAGTGCCGGCATCGGATAGCAGAAGTGGTACAGTAATTTTAACTGGAAAAAATAGCACAATGGTTAACGCTGAGACTTCTACTGAAAATATGCCTTCGCAATCAGTAGAACAACTCAAACAACTTTTATCAAATCAGTTGGAATATTATTTTTCAAGGTAAAATTATGATCTACAGTTTTTGTAAATCTATATATTATTATTTTTACTTTTAAAAACAATTAAAATTATCATTATTACTTAAAATGTATTAAATAGAGAAAATTTGGCAAATGATGCATACTTATTGTCACAAATGGATAATGACCAATATGTTCCAATATGGACAGTTGCCAATTTTAATCAAGTAAAAAAATTGACTAAAGACATTAAGTTGATCACTGAAGTATTGAGAGGTAAATTTTGTTTTTAATGTTTTAAATCTTATAATAATACATATTAATCCTCAATTAGAGTCGCCAAATGTACAAGTTGATGATGAAGGATTAAAAGTCCGCCCAAATCACAAACGTTGTATTGTTATCTTGCGGGAAATTCCCCAAACTACTCCAATTGAAGACATTAAGGTTTGTCGCTGGAAAGTTCATTTGTAATTTTTCTTAAACATAATAAAAGTATAAAACTCATACATATATATTAATTATTTTTGATCGCAGGGATTATTTGCTGGTGAATCATGTCCTAAAATGATATCATGCGAGTTTGCTCATAATAATTCATGGTATATCACTTTTGAAAATGATGAAGATGCACAAAGAGCATTTTTGTATCTTCGTGAAGAGGTCAAAGAATTTCAGGTTGGTTCACATTTATATGTAAAAACAAGGTTATTATTATTTTTAGTATGTTGTTATGAACCTATTTTGTCATCGATATAGTACAATACATGCATTGAAGATTCTTATAATATTATATTAATAATAATAATAATGATAAAAATGTTCTTTATTAAATAACTTGATAATAAAACAACAAATAAATTCTTAAATAATTAAATATGAGTTAGAAAAAATGAATGTTTTATGATTTAAGTTATTTTATGCATTGTATTATAAGTTATAACTAACAAAATAGTTATTCTGATACATCTTCAAAATCAGTTTTACACTCCACAAAAATATAAATGGTTCATAATTGGGTTACTCAAGATGTTAATTTATTGTTTTAGATTCTAAGTGGAACGATGAATGTATTGATGTAACAATGATGTGTGTTTATTTTTTTATTTCTGTGTCAGTGTACACGATTAGTAGTTGAAATAATGCTTCGATTTTCAACTTCAGTATCTTGTTCGATTGGAAAGTGAATATCGTAGGTACTTTTGGGAGGTCAAAATTTGTAATTCCCAATAGTTTTCAAAAGCGTCCGGAAAAAACAAAATAAAAATTAAGGAAAAACGGGAACTTTTACGCAAGATCAGTTTTTGACAAAATCGATTTTGCCTTTGGTGTAACTTTAAAACAAATGACCTTAGATACATGACATTTTCACTGATTGTATATATTTGAATTTTCTATACACGTTAAAATTTTCAAAATATTTTCATTTATTTTGAACTGTTTAGGGGCATATTCAGTTTTCAGTTTCCAATTTTATTAGTTTTATTTTCTATGTATGTTAATAAAACTTTATTTGTTGCGTAAAATTACTTGAAAATGTAATACATGGCTCCTACTATATTGTTACATTGACATTTGAAAAATATTAAAAATCCTTCGTCACAGTTTTTTTATATAAGTATTTTTCAAATCTTGACAAAACATGGAAAAATCACGAAAATTATCAAATTATTTTGAGTTAAGAATTCATAAAAATTTTTCTTTTTTAATTTAAGATATGAAAATGTAATACAAGATTCCTTATAAGTTTGTCTACTTTTATCACAAAAAAAAATGTCCTTAAGAAACTAAAACTACATTTTTATGAGCGTTTGAAATTCAAATTTTTACAACATTGGATGGATATTCACTCGATTTCTCATGTAGCAATTTTCTCATTTTGTTACGATTCAAAGACGAATAACTGTATTTTTAATCTGTATTTTTTTTTAAATTTAAATCTTAATAAATTTTACTTAGAAGATTTATCATCCATTTGCAATTTTATTTGTATATTTATTTACTATAATTTTATAATTTTTAACAATCAATATTGAACTTTGTATACTGTGTCTTTTGGCAACCCGCATGGTGGGCAGTCCGCTTGATAAAGTTGTTATATATATACATGAAAATTTAACTGAATGTTCATTTTAACGATTCGAATACGTGATAAATTTTTCAAAATATTTTGACTCTTTTTGAGCTGTTTATGGACTATTTCATATTTCAATTTTTTTTTTTCTATGAATATTAATAAAGTTTTATCTATTAAGCCAAAAAATTAAAAAAATTAATACAAGGCTCCTGATATATTGTTACAATAGCAGTTAAAAAATATTAAAAATACACAGGCACAATTTTTTTATAAGCATTTAAAGGTCGAATTTTGACAAAATTTATCAAATTTGAAATTGAATTATTATTTTGTAGTTAAAAATGTATAAAATGTTCAACTTTTATATCTAAAGATTGAAAATTTAAAACAAGATTCTACGTACGTAGTTAATTCTGTTACCAAAAAATCTAAAAAATACATAAGCACAGTTTATTTTTATAGCCATTTTAACTTCTGATTTGGACGAAATTACATATTAAACACCTAGAATAACTATTGTAGTTATTTTGTTGTGATTGTATAATATTATTCGTGGGTACTTGAAACTTCTAAAGTGAACTACTATATATCTATGGTAGTATCAAGGTTTGTTATTGATGTATAACACGTTATAAGTACCTAATGGATATTGTGATATAATTAATTTGGAATTTATTATTGGTACCTTTATAGGTTAATTTTTTTTTAAATACTATAGATATGTATATAATATGTCTTAAACCTAGAATGACATACCGTCTCCGCTCAGAATCGTTTTTCTTATACAATGATATTATATCATTGAATTCAAATTTAATACCATCCATTATACAGTAACCCACTTGTAACCTACTGTACAGAAGAACACCTTTTTTTTATAAATATATATTTAAAAAAGTAATCACTCCAGCGGTTAAATGCAAGTATACAAAAATGTCAGCCCTCAGAAATCAAATGAAAATGTAATATCCATCAAGGTGTTCTGAAATTTTATATTTGACATTGTTTCTATTTAAGAAATTTGCAAATGGAATATATGTTTAGAAATTATATATTTGGACTGAAATCAGTTAAAGAAAAATAATTTGATACTTATTTATTTATTATTGAATACGGGAAGTGCCCAATTACATTGTATAGTATACATATTAACTAAGAGTAAGTTACATAAATATAAAATAACACAATTTACAAATATTAAAATATTGTAAAGAATGAACAGACAATTTATTGCTAGGTACTAAGGAATAGTAGGTCTTCATTTTCCAGTTTCATCATACGGATAATAGGACAATTGGTGAGATATTTAAAGCGACTAAAATGAATTTCGAAAGGGAAAGATTATCTGGAATAGAAACTTGGAACTCTTAAATTAAGTTTATATAGAAGGACAGGAAAAACTTCACCATTTACCAGCTTAGAAAGAAACGTAAGATTAGCCTGTTTCCTCCTGTCAGATAGGATAGACAAATGGAGGATTATGATGATAATTATTTACACTTTTATGAATTTAATTGATTGTCTATTACATGCACTACCAACAGAAGCAATAAAATATTCATTAAGAAATATTTATAACTAATAAAACCATATATCTGATACATTTTCTAAATCAGTTTATATTTATGCTCATGATATTAAAAAGTCACATTTTATAATTTTATCTTATTTAATATATGCTCTACCAACTAAAGTAATAATTGGTACTATGAATTTAATTAATTAGTGTTTAATATTTATTTTATTGTAAATTTTCAAGATGTTGAGAAATTCTGTAAAAAGTTAAAAAAAAAAAAAAAAGAAAAATAATTTAATGCTTATGATGATGATTAATCACTCTTACATGACTTAAAGTGATTGTTTATTACATGCACTACCAACTGAAGCTTTATTCTTATGGTTAAATGTATATAAATCATAATTAATTAAACAGTTTGGCTGCCAGTGTCCGATCACTGGTCAAGATGTTTCTTTTTAAGAAAAATTGTTTAATGCTAATGACAATTTATCACATATTAATGAATTTTGGTGATTGTTTATTACATGCACTACCAACTTAAGTCTTAAATTTGTTCTACCAACTTATCAGGATAGTTTTAAAATTGTTTCTTTTTAAAACAAATTGTTTAATGCTTATGATGATAATTAATCACATATTATTGAATTTTTGTGATTGATTATTACATGCACTACCAACTGAAGTATTATTATTAATTAATTTATGTATAGTTTTGCAAATAATCCAGATATTTAGAAATTCTTCATTTTAACTGAATTCTGTTAAAGAATATTAATATTATTTAGAATTAAATTATATATATTTTTGCAAGAAGTCCAGTTATTTAGAAAATCTTCATTTGAACTGAATTCTGTTAAAGAATAATAATATAATGCTTATAATGATAATTCATCATATATAAATGAATTTTTGTGATTGTTTATTACATGCACTACCAACTGAAGTATTATTTTGAATTAATTTATATTTATTTTTGCAAATAGTCTAAATGTTTAGGAATTCTTCATTTGAACTGAATTCTGTTAAAGAATAATAATTTAATGCTTATGATGATATTTATCACATATTAATGAATTTTGGTGATTGTTTATTACATGCACTACCAACTGAAGTATTATTTTGAAATAAATTATGGATATTTTTGGAAATAATCTAGATGTTTAGAAATTCTATATTTGAACTGAATTCGGTTTAAAAATAATAATTTAATACTTATGATGATAATTTATCACATATTATTGAATTTTTGTGATTGTTTATTACATGCACTACCAACTGAAGTATTATTTTGAAATAAATTATGGATATTTTTGCAAATAGTCTAGATGTTTAGAAATTCTTCATTTGAACTGAATTCAGTTTAAAAATAATAATTTAATACTTATGATGATAATTTATCACATATTAATGCATTTTTGTGATTGTTTATTACATGCACTACCAACTGAAGTATTATTTTGAAATAAATTATGGATATTTTAGCAAATAGTCTAGATGTTTAGAAATTCTATATTTGAACTGAATTCAGTTTAAAAATAATAATTTAATACTTATGATGATAATTTATCACATATTAATGAATTTTGGTGATTGTTTATTACATGCACTACCAACTGAAGTATTATTTTGAATTAATTTATGTATATTTTTGCAAATAGTCTAGATGTTTAGGAATTCTTCATTTGAACTGAATTCTGTTAAAGAATAATAATTTAATGCTTATGATGATAATTAATCACATATTAATGAATTTTGGTGATTGTTTATTACATGCACTACCAACTGAAGTATTATTTTGAAATAAATTATGGATATTTTAGCAAATAGTCTAGATGTTTAGAAATTCTATATTTGAACTGAATTCAGTTTAAAAATAATAATTTAATATTTATGATGATAATTTATCACATATTAATGAATTTTGGTGATTGTTTATTACATGCACTACCAACTGAAGTATTATTTTGAATTAATTTATGTATATTTTTGCAAATAGTCTAGATGTTTAGGAATTCTTCATTTGAACTGAATTCTGTTAAAGAATAATAATTTAATGCTTATGATGATAATTGATCACATATTAATGAATTTTGGTGATTGTTTATTACATGCACTACCAACTGAAGTATTATTTTGAAATAAATTGTGGATATTTTTGCAAATAGTCTAGATGTTTGGAAATTTTTCATTTGAACTGAATTCTGTTAAAGAATAATAATTTAATGCTTATGATGATAATTTATCACATATTAATGAATTTTTGTGATTGTTTATTACATGCACTACCAACTGAAGTATTATTTTGAAATAAATTGTGGATATTTTTGCAAATAGTCTAGATGTTTGGAAATTTTTCATTTGAACTGAATTTTTTTAAAGAATAATAATTTAATGCTTATGATGATAATTGATCACATATTAATGAATTTTGGTGATTGTTTATTACATGCACTACCAACTGAAGTATTAAATTTGTTCTAGCAACTTATTAGGATTGTTTTAAAATTGTTTCTTTTTAAGAAAAATTGTTTAATGCTTATGATGATAATTTATCACATATTATTGAATTTTTGTGATTGTTTATTACATGCACTACCAACTGAAGTATTATTTTGAAATAAATTATGGATATTTTAGCAAATAGTCTAGATGTTTAGAAATTCTATATTTGAACTGAATTCAGTTTAAAAATAATAATTTAATACTTATGATGATAATTTATCACATATTAATGAATTTTGGTGATTGTTTATTACATGCACTACCAACTGAAGTATTATTTTGAATTAATTTATGTATATTTTTGCAAATAGTCTAGATGTTTAGGAATTCTTCATTTGAACTGAATTCTGTTAAAGAATAATAATTTAATGCTTATGATGATAATTAATCACATATTAATGAATTTTGGTGATTGTTTATTACATGCACTACCAACTGAAGTATTATTTTGAAATAAATTATGGATATTTTAGCAAATAGTCTAGATGTTTAGAAATTCTATATTTGAACTGAATTCAGTTTAAAAATAATAATTTAATATTTATGATGATAATTTATCACATATTAATGAATTTTGGTGATTGTTTATTACATGCACTACCAACTGAAGTATTATTTTGAATTAATTTATGTATATTTTTGCAAATAGTCTAGATGTTTAGGAATTCTTCATTTGAACTGAATTCTGTTAAAGAATAATAATTTAATGCTTATGATGATAATTGATCACATATTAATGAATTTTGGTGATTGTTTATTACATGCACTACCAACTGAAGTATTATTTTGAAATAAATTGTGGATATTTTTGCAAATAGTCTAGATGTTTGGAAATTTTTCATTTGAACTGAATTCTGTTAAAGAATAATAATTTAATGCTTATGATGATAATTTATCACATATTAATGAATTTTTGTGATTGTTTATTACATGCACTACCAACTGAAGTATTATTTTGAAATAAATTGTGGATATTTTTGCAAATAGTCTAGATGTTTGGAAATTTTTCATTTGAACTGAATTTTTTTAAAGAATAATAATTTAATGCTTATGATGATAATTGATCACATATTAATGAATTTTGGTGATTGTTTATTACATGCACTACCAACTGAAGTATTAAATTTGTTCTAGCAACTTATTAGGATTGTTTTAAAATTGTTTCTTTTTAAGAAAAATTGTTTAATGCTTATGATGATAATTTATCACATATTATTGAATTTTTGTGATTGTTTATTACATGCACTACCAACTGAACTATTATTTTGAAATAAATTATGGATATTTTAGCAAATAGTCTAGATGTTTAGAAATTCTATATTTGAACTGAATTCTGTTTAAAAATAATAATTTAATACTTATGATGATAATTTATCACATATTAATGAATTTTGGTGATTGTTTATTACATGCACTACCAACTGAAGTATTATTTTGAATTAATTTATGTATATTTTTGCAAATAGTCTAGATGTTTAGGAATTCTTCATTTGAACTGAATTCTGTTAAAGAATAATAATTTAATGCTTATGATGATAATTTATCACATATTAATGAATTTTGGTGATTGTTTATTACATGCACTACCAACTGAAGTATTAAATTTGTTCTAGCAACTTATTAGGATTGTTTTAAAATTGTTTCTTTTTAAGAAAAATGGTTTAATGCTTATGATGATAATTTATCACATATTATTGAATTTTTGTGATTGTTTATTACATGCACTACCAACTGAAGTATTATTTTGAAATAAATTGTGTATATTTTTGCAAATAGTCTAGATGTTTAGATATTTTTCATTTGAACTGAATTCTGTTAAAGAATAATAATTTAATGCTTATGATGATAATTGATCACATATTAATGAATTTTGGTGATTGTTTATTACATGCACTACCAACTGAAGTATTATTTTGAAATAAATTATGGATATTTTTGCAAATAATCTAGATGTTTAGAAATTCTATATTTGAACTGAATTCAGTTTAAAAGTAATAATTTAATACTTATGATGATAATTTATCACTTATTAATGAATTTTGGTGATTGTTTATTACATGCACTACCAACTGAAGTCTTAAATTTGCTCTAGCAACTTATCAGGATAGTTTCAACATTGTTTCTTTTTAAGACAAACTGTTTAATGCTTATGATGAAAGTTTATCACATATTATTGAATTTTTGTGATTGTTTATTACATGCACTACCAACTGAAGTATTATTTGAATTTTTGTTTACATTTTTTATTGCAATTTGAAAAAAAAAAAAGATCAATTTTGTTTGATAAAAGATAATTGTTCACACAATTATTTTAATTTTTAATTTATTTATATATTGTCAAACAGTCAAAATGTTTAGAAATTCTCGGTTTGAACTGAATTCTTTTTAAGAACAGTAAATTAATGCTTATGATGTTAATTTATCACATATTAATGAATTTTAAGTGATTGTTTATTACATGCACTACCAACTGAAGTATTAATTATGTTCTAGCAACTTGTCAGGATATTTTTGAAATTGATTATTTTTTAAGAAAACTTGTTTAATGCTCATGATGATAATTTATTGTATTGTCAATATTTATAATTTAATAATGTTTTCGAATATAAATGATTAATTTATAATTTTAATTACTTTAGGGTCGACCTATAATGGCACGTATCAAAGCAAAGCCAATGAATCGCATGGCTGCACCAATATCACCCGTTCCGGTTATAAAAACAGTTAATGGTTTTCGAACTCCGCCAATGCAAGCTCAACCTATCAATCCATATATAGATCAAGGGGTCACACAATCTGGACCTCCCGCTCCTCCCCCACAACATCCTCAAGCTGCCAGATTATTTTATACAAATGGAGGGCCAGCTCAATATGCTCCAGTCAATTATGCTGCTGCTAATCTGCAAGTATATGTAAGTATATCAAATTATTTTACGTTTTAGATTAATTTTTTTGTAATACATAAATGTTTTAGAGTAGTTATTTGGTTGGAATAATTATGTTGAATATTATTAATAAGTTACAGCAGCAGCAACAGTCTCCATATTATCCTACAAATATGATTCAACATTGGGCTCATCCTGCAACAGGTGCCTATTACACTACTGATCTTAGTGGCATATTTTCTGTGAATGGATTGGCTCCCCAAGGAAATTTTACTAAACCTCAGAATTCAAGATATAATGTTTCACGTGCTCCGTAAGTATTGTTATAGTAGTCTACTACAAAAACAATAAAATAAACATTTTTTTTTTCAATTTTAACAAATTTATTTCAAATAGTGGTCGAACCAATGGAAAAATGCGTCATAATTCTGTTGGTGGTAGTGAATATTACCGAAGTTCAGCTTCAGATAGTGGTTTACCATCACGTCCTGGTAGTTACACATCAAATGGAAGTCTCACTAAGTCATCTAGTAGTAGTGGATCATTGCATATTTCCAATGCAACCAGAAACTATGTTGACAATCAAGATTCAACTGTAGTTGATAGACAGTCTAGTGGAACAATCAACATCCCAAAAGATCCTACAACATTGCCACCAAGGTAATAATAATATATTCTTTGAACATAAATATTTCATTTTATTTGTCAAAATGGAAAATACTAATATTTTGAGTTATGTTAATTATCAATTGATTTTAAATTATTACTTAAATTGTTTGTATTGTATAGATATAGGCGAAGGAAGAAAGATGATGAAGTAGGACCAGAAGTTGTAACCACAAGTACTATACCTCAACCACCAACTGGTAGTTTTGATTTGGCTGCTGACGCTTTCCCTCCGTTACCACCTCAAGTTGTGTCCATACCACACCAGTCACCAACTTCATTGCCCCATGACCAGTTGTCACCTCGTATTAACATTGATCCTAGGTAATTATTAAAACTTATAGTTAGAGACCTAAATCAAGACTACTGCTAAGGTGTTATCATTTTGTTTCATCAATGTTTTAATTAATGCTTGGATTTTATAGCACTAAAAATAACTGAAATATGTGCTATAATATGCCATATAAAAATGAAAAATAACAAAATCGAATATTTAAAAAAAAAATCGTTCTGAACTTATATTTATTAAATAATAATTAGATAAAAATATATAAATACAACTGATAATGAGTTATAAATTTATATACTGTCCGTCCGATGTGCCCAATACCTCTTGCTACCTAAAATTATATAATATGAAATAAAAATGGTTAGGAGGTTAGGTTATTTTTTACTCACATAAATGTATATTGTTTCTACTTACAAAATAAATCATAATAGCAAAAAATAGAACTCAAAATTTAAAATACTTCAAATATGCTATAAATAGCAATATAGGATTTCATGTTTAAAGTCCCTAGCAAATGAAAAAAAATTATAACACCTATTTTTTATATGTATCTTATAATAATTAGGAAATACTGTGAGCCCTGGTTATACATTCTTAATTATTTATAATAATTTACTCATAAAATTACATGTTTAATATTATTGACTTATTTTGATTTATAGTAGGATTACTGTAATTTCAACCTCGAGTATTTCAACAGTTCTGTCTGAACCCTCTGTATCCAAGACTGATGATGATATAGACCAAACTGTTAAGTCAGAGAGTCTACCAAATGGTTTATATACAGTGCCTCCTGTTGGGTTTGTACCTGTGACTGAAATCGTTGATGACGTATCAAATATGTCTTTGAGCTCTGTTAATTTGCTCCCAAAGGTATTTGTTTATCCTAATCTAGTTTTAATGTATTAATAATAGACTAACATTAAAAATATTATATTGTTTTATTAAAAGGTTCAGGATATTGTTACAACTTCGAATTCTATAATAAATCCTACAGATAAGACTGTAATGCCAGCGAAATCTGACATGCCACCTACTATGCCTAAAGCCAATGGTACATCTCTTAATACTAAACCAACTGTACCAAATCATAAGGCTGCTTTGCCATCACAATGTGCTTGTGTCATACCACAACCACCTGCTACATTTTCTGCAGATATGGCTAACAACAATCCTGTTCTTATCGGGAATGGTTCTCCAAATATTGGTCATAAACTAAGTTATGCACAAGTAGCACAGCATCACAAAGAAAGGAATGAGAGCCACATTCCTACCATTATAACATTTGGGCAATCTCCTATTGTAGAAGAAGAAAAAAAAGATGAAACCATACCTGTTGTGATACCCCAATCTAAACAATCAAATCTTACAGCAGGTATAGTTAGCACATTTTTAATATAATTTTTATTAAAATAAAGCTATTTAAATCTAAAGTGATTTTATATTATATTTCTTATCATCCATCATGTCTATAGACTACACTTAATATTTATTTTTTAGCTTAAGTTACTATCTTTTGAATTCATACATTTATTAAGAATATGTTACTTAGACATTTGTTGTTTCAGTCTTACAAATGTATAACATAGCAAATGTTATACTCAGAAAATCATGTATGTTTAGTTCCATAAGTTTAAAAATTAGAGTGAATTGACGTCTTATAACATTTAAAGATAATATTATTATGTCAGATATCTTATAGGTTTTTTATTATATTTTAATTTTAAAGCAAGTTATGATTATTTTAAAATTGTTAATTGTGTGTACATCTTAAAATACTCATAACTCGCTTTAAAATTAAAATATAATAAATGCCTATAAGATGCCCTAGATCTTGCCTTTAAAATTTGTGAGAGGTCAATTCATTATTATTTTTAAACTAATGGGAGCTAAACTTGATCTGCTGAGTATAAAATGTTGCCATGTTACGCACTTGTATGACATAGACAACAAATGTTTGTGTCGCGTCATTTTAAGATCTAATCTAAAATTGCTTTCAAAACAGTAAAGTTATTGTTTGTTATCTGTACAGATAGATTTATGAAGTTATTAACTAATAAATGATTAATATTCAAATTTAAATTTATTTCAGAGGTTCCTCTGACAAATCGGTCTGGTAAAGGACACAGAACAGCAAATAGTGAACGGGGAACAATACCCAGGAAAGGATCATCAAAATTCAATCGTACTAAGTCTCCTAAGTAAAATGTAAATAAGGCCTGAGTATTAGTTGTGAATCAACTTATAAAATATAACGGTTCTGTAAGTATTAACATCATTTTTACCGTCTCAAATAAGTTTAAAAAAAAAAATTATTTTTCCATAATTTTAACATTTAAATTTAAGTTTTAGTGTTCGCCAGTAGAAGTTTTTTTTTCATAAATTAGCCATCTAAAATATCGTAAATTCCTTAGCACTTGCATTTTTTGTACAAATTATGTTTTATAAAACATTATTAAATAAAAACAACTTTGTTATATAAAAAATATTATTCCCATATTATCAATTACATAGGTTTTATGTTATATTTTGGTAAAAACCAAATTTCTATATTATGTAAATTGATTATAATCAACTTAGCTTGAAAGCACAAGGTCATTTATGGTTAATTTTTCAGTAAAAAAACAATTCACTACACAAGTATGGCAAATAAGTGGAAGGATCCGGACAGTATCGACACACAAATTGTAACATTGTTTTATGCTTAAATTGGTAGGCTTAAAACAACAGTGATAGATAAATATATCCCCGTCCTACTGTCATTATATTCTAATCAATTTGTCCAAATTATTATGTTTATTGTTAGTTTTTTTTTTACATAAGTTTAATATCTTATGATTGTTTCCTTTTATGAAAAAAGAAATGCATAAAACAAAACAACTTTGAAACAAAACTCCTATATAGATATATTATATTCATATATACTTATGTTTATGTATATATTAAAAGATTTAAATAACATAACTGTGATAAAAATTATACATTAACATGCATTAGTTTATATTTGTATGTCATATATTTATATATATATACATATATATATATCAATTTGAATTATTTGTAATCGTAATTTGCATTGACATAGTATAATTATGAATTACTTTGAATATTAACAAGTAACTATTATGTTTCAACTTAATTTATCAAGAATTTCCAATTATGTTATTACATTTTAGTAAGCTTGTAATATTCTTAACCTCAAGTTTTCAGTTGCATTGATATTTATTTTTTGACATTATTTAATTATTGTTATTATAAGTACTTATACATTTTTTTTAATGTATAGTAAAAATGTTGTGAGTATTGACTGATTGGATTTGAACAAAATTTAAAAGCTTGAAGTTATTACAATGAGGTGTTTGATTTTTCTTTATGTTTGCTTATCACAGTGTTGTTATATATTTCATTCATTGTTTAGTTCAGATGATTTTTAAATTACAGAATGCTTATAAACAAGTATATTTTATTATTTATACTTATAAGCAATGTTGTTTTGTTTTGTCTTTTATTTTAACATTACCGTACAAGTAATTTTATAAACATTTAAATGTATGCAATCTTATTTGTATTTCACACTAAATTATATTAATTTTTATTGATTGTATTATTTTAGATGAAAAAGTGTTAAATTATCCCATGAAACGATATGATACATTTGTCACCCGCATCCGTTAATCGACCAAGTTTTTTAATTTATTTTTTTTGTTTTTTTTTTTAATATTCTTATTTAACTTTTTTGTTTTTAGTTTAATTTTTATTGATATATAAAAAAAAAAAAAAAAAAAATGAAATAGAAGTGAAAGAGTTCTAGTTATATAATATAGTAGAACAATGTTACAATATTTATGATAATGCATAATAAGAGGACATCAGGTTTTTTTTTTTGGAAGAAAAATTTAATTTATAATTTTACATCGCTTAAATGTCTTCTGAAAATGTTTTCAAATTTAAATGAAAGATGAAATGATAAAAAAATTTTAAGAGCTAAGTTAATTAGTAGACTAGATTTTTTTAAAATTTTTACTGAGGCCATGATTGCAAATGGCCAAAATACAGTTTAATAAAATGAGTTAAAATGTATAGAATTTAGTTATCTTATATATAACGTAGTTAAATGTAAATTATTTGATGATAGTCATCTGTTTGGGTTTTTCTGTCTTATTATTCTATACTATACTTTTATCATTTTAACTTGGCGCAACCATTTTGCATTATAAATTAAAACAAAACGTTTAAAATCAGCCACAGAATAAAAGTACCTTACAAAAATGTATCTAAATGTTTAAATATGTAATTATTCAAAATTGTCTTAATTTTAATTTTTCCTTGGTTGGTTTTGCTCAATTTACACAAACACTTAACGTTTATGTTCTTATCCAAATCTAACATCAATATTTAATAATGATTCTCAAATAAAATTCTGTACTCCAAATTTGATTTAAAATTAAATGTTAAACGAGTCCATACCTACTTTATTTATTTGATTTCTTATTGTTACTGACTTTGGGATATTCATCGAGTCATAAATGTTTTAGGATAATTTCAAAACTGTATACTGGTCTGAAAAATCTCTTCAAATCAAAAACGTTTTGCAAAATTTGCCTTTTTAGTTACCATAATATTTGTCATTTAAATTTGCTAACATTTAAACATAATTTTAAAATAAAAACACTATTAATAAATTGAATATAAAATTATCTGGTGTAAATATTATATGTATGCTCTAAATTAATTGCCACAGGAGATTCTAATCATTTTCATTGATCAATGAAAAAATTAAAAACAACAATTTATTATTATTATTATTATTATTATTAATTTATTATTATTATTTTGTTTATTGTTACATAGTGGTTGATACATTTCGCCAGTGTATTGTAATGGCCATATATGTGTTATGTTTGTTGTTTATTGTTTTAAAAATAGAGTAGGTATATGGCTTAAATAAAATATATAATATAACAAAATAAAAAAAAAAAGCTCATAATGGAAGCCCCATTAAGTATTGTTTGTTTGTTTTATCTTTTTTGTTTTTAGTTGTTTAATTATTTTGGGTTATATTATGTTATTTGTAATCTTCATTTTGAATGTCTCGATATTGAATATTATTAAAATTGTACACTTCAAGAACATTTTAAAATGTAATTAGTTGGAAGGATACTGGGATGACATTTTTTCTTTTGACAAAATGTATATTTTTTTATTAATCATGTATATACTTGTTATTTTTTTTTAAATACCTAAATAGCTAAATAATTAACATATATAAATATTTAAGTGGAATTAGGAAATAATTTCCCTTAGTACTAGTCATGGGAGGCTAATATTGATAAATATATATTTATACATACATGTCTATACAATGTGTGTTAGCCTATGGTTTAATTTATTAACTGATTTTCCAATCATTCATTATCTGATTTTTATTTACTTAAATAAAACAATTTTGTAAGATATTATTGAATATGATTGCAAACCTGCTTTTTAAACATAATTAACCATATACCTAGTAATATATAATTAATACAAAATATATAATATATTATATCATATTTTGTCTAAATTAATGCATTACTGTAATCATAATATATCCTGTAAACATTATATCTTATTAAGTATAAATAACTGCCGTGGTAATTAAATATATTTTTTTTATTGGTTGTATGACTGCAAATGATACATTGGAGTCTTTATCATTATCAATAATAATAATAATTAAAAATTAATAGATGTTAATACAACAAGCGCACAGAGTTTTTAAATACTTCTATTTCAAAGATTTCTTGAAGGTTGCGGGAGAGGGTTTTGCTGGATTGGAAAATTAGAAATTCTTTGTAACTTAATGGTTATCATTCAATTTTTTTTTACCATGCCCTGACACAATTTGTATATCAAAATATGTATTAATGTATATTCCTTCCTAGTTGAAGGAAACTTAAATAAAATAAAAAAATCAAAAAAAAAAATCTATTCATTTCTTTATAATATTTTTAATTTTAATTAACAGAAAGGTTACAACAGTTTGAAATCATAGTTTTTTGTTTTGTTGAATTTTTATTTTCTTTAGGTGTCAAATGTATATTCTTTTGTAGTCATTGAATTATTTACAAAAATAAATAAATATCGAAGCTCAATAGTATTAAATTATTATTTCTTTTACTTGCCTTGATGACTTGTTATGAAATCATTTAGTTCCATTATTTGTTGTAAATGTTTTGTTTTGTAATTTAAGTGAAATTTACTAATATATATTCAATTTATTTATAAATAAAAAATATTTTTAAAGGTATACTCTTTGTTATCATTGTAATATGGTAATCAAAAATATTAATTCCCAAGGTAGACTACTTCATTAATAATATTTAAGCATATGGTGCATATTACATCATAAATCTAGTATCTATTTCATAAAATTGTTTTTTAATTGAATATCGTTTTCGATTTAGCATATTATTATCATTATAAACGACTATTGACATTACCTATTTAGTATTTATGTAGGCCTTCCAGGTTTTTATATTATATAGTATAATTAACAGCCAGCCTTAGTATTCCATATTGTTAGGTACCTATATAATATTACTCATGATTTTATTATAACTCCCCTTCTGCCAGATTTCCATCAACCTGTACTGTTGTGCCTAATTCCACTGTTTTTGTTACAATATTATATAATAATAATAATCTTATAAAACTGAGTGTTTATTGATCATAATATATATTATTAATAAATTGTTACATGTGAATTCAAACGGTAACACGATGTATAGTTATTATAATAATTATAATTTCAAATCGCATTAACGTTTGAAACCAGTTGACTGATCCATTTATTTCTGTTTTAATCGAAAACTATTTTAACTTATTTATATTTATATTTTTTAAAAATTCGAAAAACTATTATTATACTGATAATTATAATAAAATGAATATTTAAAAAAGAATAAAAGTGGTTATGTAATTGTTAAGGTGTAAATAATAATATGTTCTTTCAAACTGGATTTCATGACCAACTAGTAAGAAAAAAAAAATTAAAAAATAAAATAAATATACTAATAATTAAAGCTTTATTTAGTTGTGTTTTTCTCCTCTTAAAATGGCGTGCGGTTCATCTCAATGGATGACGTACAAGTTTAAGTGTTTAATGTTCATGGAGTCTTGTTTGATTTGGAATTTTTGTGATATTTGATTATTAATCTTATAAATACATACATTATAATATATTATAATTATAAAGAAAAACAAATAGCAAACCTTGTTTTATTGTATTTTATCATAGATATGTATAACAATTATATGGTAATTGTACAATAATATGTTTTTATATTCTTTTCACCCGAATAAGTTTTCCTATTTCCTGTGTACCAACTATCTGAAAGTCTCAAACCTAACCTGACCCGAGTTCTGAACCCATTTATTAAATTGCCATAATACATACAATTAATAGTTTCTACTGTATTTTCCATGGTAGTAAAAATGATATAATTTTAAAAAGTAGAAATTGCATTGTACTTTCAAATTTAAACATATATAAACTTATCATTTATTTCACAATTATCACAGATAATTGATCAATGCCTTCTCCAGGATGTGGAAAAGAAAGGTAATCTCACATTCTAGCTACCAATTTTATGGCAGTTAAAATTTGTAAAAAAAGTTCAATACAAATTACTCATTATACAGGGTGTCCCGTGAGGATTTACCTATAAGCCGTAGAGGGGGACTCGCCGCCCGGACAAAAACCGGTTTTTTGCCGTTTTACTTATTAATTAAAAAAATTATTAAAAATCAGGAAATTAATGAAATTAAAATGTTGAAACGTCAATATTTTCAGAAAAATGAACTCTACAAAATGGCAATCTTCAATATTTTTTTAAATAATTAATTAAAAAAATAATTTTTTTAACTTTTTTACCAAAACATAAAAAAAAAATAAAAAATTAGTTATTTGTAGTGCTTACCTCTCTGAGTCTTAATAAGAAAACAGAATTACGATATCTCTATTATTTCAGGAGATATCGCAATGAGTAAATCCTCACGGGACCTCCTGTATATTAGTCATAAGCATAACTAAAGACTGGATTTATATTCTCTTAAAATATGATGATAATATTCTCTAAAAAACCATCAAATATTCTCATTATATTCTCTTAAAATTTTACAAATATGCAAAAACAATCAATAAACATTGTTATATGATAAATATGCATTTTTAAATTTTTATTTTTCAACTTTATTTTAACAGTGAGGTATTAATTATTTATTAAAAGTTGCGTATTCTAATGGAGTACTATTGCACTTAGTGTAAGAGTTGGAAATTATAAAACAAAAACAATTTTAAATGTTCAAAAAAAAATTTTCTGGGTACCGTAATGTTAAAATTAAAAATAACTACAATTTTTTTCTCACAATTTACGAAATATTCCAAAATATGGTAAATGGGTTAAATATTCTCTAACCCATAAAATATTCTCCAATATGCAAAACAAACTTTTTTCTACGGATTCAGAATTGAACGAATCGTCCACATTTTTTTCTCTCATAAAACTGCATAGACCCAGTAACAATATGTAAAAACATATAAATCCGGTCTTTAGTCATTAAGTTACTAATATTTGCTGCTCGTTTCATTATTTTTCATTTTACTAAATATTAACCTGACTAAAAATAAATATTGATTCATAACCTTTAGTTATGTAAACTACTGACTTGGTCTTAGAAAAATTTGCTTCTAGTTTAAAAATTGGTGTAGTCCTTTTTAATTTCTCTTGTTTGGATGTATTTAATCTATGATGTGTAAGAAATTACTATGTAATAACTAATAACTATGGTTTTGGTATTGGCGTACTAGCGTTAGCGTTAAATTTTGGATACAATAAAAATAAATAGAAAAATGTCTGCATAGTATCTACTAATTACAGTAGGGGACAAGTGTACCTCATCACTGAGCAGGGTTGGAAAAAACGTTTTTTTTTTTTTTTTTTTTTTTTTAATAGTGAAAACAAAAAAACATTTTAATGAAACTATATAAATTATAATAGTCAATTATTATACATAGGTTATAGATAGCATCGACATCATGCCATTGTGTTATTATTATTTTTATACATATTATGTAGATTAGGTCATCATTACGGGTCACCTCTTTTTAAAACTTATTTTTTTTTATTCATATTTTTGTAGTTTTTTTGGATACCATCTATTTTAATTTTGAAAGATTGATTTTCAACAAAAAAAGGCGGGCAAGTGGGTGTCGCTCTGCTCTACAAGATTAGGTTACCATCATCATTTCGACTACTAATCGTGTACACAGACAAATGAAAAAAAAACACATTGTAATAGTATAATAATGAATTGTAATAGTTTATTGTGTAGCAAGGGCGGGAAGTGAGCCGCATTTCGCACAAGACTGAAAGGTTATACTATTTTTTCTCTACGTTCATTGATCATGGCAAAGGTATTGTAGGGATCTATATGCAATAACCAGACTATTCTACAAAAACAATATTCCATGAAAGAAACTATTTGGTTGTATATTTTATTTTGAGCGTATAGGTTATAAGATGTAACCAAAAGTGTATGTATTATAAGGGCCGGGTATAGACTTCTGTATGAATTATAATTATTATATTAAAATAAAATAATAAAAAAAAATCTATGGAACAACCAGATTGTTCTACGAAAACCATTTCATAAAATAATATAATAGTATAGTGTGAGGCAAGGGCGAAGTGAGCTGCTTCTGACGTGTGCATTTCAGCCAATACTGAAATTGCCTTCCCGAACGAGCCACACATGCTATTTTTTTATCACACCAACGATCACATCAACACAGGACGAACAACATGGGCAAAACCCAAAACTCAACCATCAGGATTGTTCATCTTCTAAAACGAAAAAAATCTGTAGGTTAGGTTAGGTTAGTTACTACTTACTATGAAATTTAACAAGAGTTTGAATAAGAAAGTCAAAATGTATAATATATATATATATAAATTCTGCTACCTAGTATACTATGATTAAAATTAAAACTATTGGCTAGATTTATTAAAAAAAAAAATCACTTACTATATATTATTAACTGCAGCCTTTTATAGTCGAAGAATAAAGACAGAAAAAAAAAATGGTAGTGCCTACCATAGCCCATAGGTAATATAATAGGTATAAAATGTTATACGTACAATCGAGATGACGTATATCTTGTATAGTTGTATCACTATTACCTATAAGTTATAACTACAGATAAATTTGTAATTAATAATTACTCGCAATTCTTCTACTTCTTTATTCTCGCAATTCAAAAACTAAAACAAAATGTATACGATATAGGTACGTAAATGATAACAATTTTTTTTAAAAATATATTTATTTACGCAATTATAAAGCTGGTGAGTGGGTAAACACAATGGGACATCTGACACAACAAATCTTTTTTCCTTTATAAAATGGACTTGTAAGTCGTAGGTAAAATTTACGACGACACTACGAGACTTGGAATTCTGTGATTTATACATTGCTTTATTACTTACTAGAGGTAAAATATTAAACCAATACCAATTTGTGTAATACTTAATCATCTTATATGGGGATTGTTTTGTTGACTATGAAGTATTTATAATACCTTTAACTATACGTAACTATATTTTAAAATTCAGTTCTAGGTACCTACATAAAACTATTGTTTGAGTACCTACCTAGGTATTAATCTATAACCAATATTATTGGTGTCCACACAGAAGAATATTTTTAATTTTGTCTCTACTCATAATAATTAGAGAGAACAAATAATAATTAACATAGCTAGAATAGGCCACTCCTACTTTACTCACTTCTGTATTTTGATTACTAATACCAAAGACAACCCAGTCCAATGGGCAACATATTCAAACCTCCTCTTATTAATGAACACATAATTATCAACTGCCCCAAAATTCTCAACCTCATGTCATCTCCTCAAAAATCCTGCATCACTTGAAGAAGCCTTCAACCAACACAACACCACCAATATTAAAATTTTTTCAAACAAATAGATTTAGATAAAAAAAATTGTAATTATACATGTACATAAAGTATGATATTTTTTTCTCTAATATCGTAGAAGTTCATTTAGTATGTAAATAATACTCTAGGATAATAATCGCTGAAGCTTAGATTTAAATAATAAAAAAAAATAACCAAACTTCTGATATATGTTTTTTTATGGCCGTAGGTATAAATTGGTAAATCAAAAATAATGAAACTTAAAACTGTAGTTAAATGTTATAACTACGAGTATACACATAGTCCTACCTATAACCAGTGGTATGACACTGAGTGAATTGGCCACATTACACAGGACAATATTATTTAAACAATACTTATTCATTTTACCAACATTTAATGTTTATGTAATTATGTATTAAAATTACTTACATGTCATAACAAATTATTAAATTTAATGGGTCACTAAAAATTTAATGGACCAATCACGGGCCACTAAATCTTGTTTAATGGACCATTAGCTCTATTGATTCATTAAATGTTTTGTGCAATTCAGCAATATTGTAGGTAATAATTCTAATGAAAAAATATAATATTATAATACCTACTAAAATTAATGACTAATGTAATAATATGTAATTAGATTTAGATTATAATACTAGGTTTAAAGAACAAACATATCAGAAATTAAGTAAGAATATATTTTCTTTATTCAATGAACATATAATCAAAATTGCAAGAGAAAAATTGCAAATAAATAAATAATACATTACATTAAAACAAAATCATTAAAATAAAAAAAAAAACATCAATTTTATTAACTTACATGAGATTATTGTTTAATTCTAAAAGGACTGCTCAGTGAAAAGTACTTGGCTGAAGATCAACCAATGGTTTTATTTTTTAACTCAATATTTATAAATTTGAAAGAATTTTAACTTTTTTGTTTTTATCATCATTACGTAATTCTAGAGATTCCTTGTTGGTTCTTTTTAATGAATTGTATATTCGAAATCTTAAGAACAGGTTTATTAAGAAATCTTTAGGGAAATTATCACACGGATGGTAGAAAAAAATTGTATTTAAAATTAAATCTCTAAGAGTCTTACCCACATTAGGCTGAGGAGCTAATGAAATAAAATGCCTATTAAAAACTTGATTAATTTGGACAATATACTGATAAAAAGTAGAATTCGGAATAATTAAATCACGGAATAATAAAGTAGGATTTTCTCCATATGTTGTAAAATGAGAATAAAAAGTTTCACTGGATAATGAAGTAGTTGCTTGTGCAAAATTTAAACAAGTTGAACATTGATGAACTTTTAAACATTGCCCCATTAAGTATCCGCAAAAGTATGTCAAAGCATTTTGATCAGGTAAATTAATTTGTTTGTAATTTTTAATGTTTCTAATAGGTAATGGAAATTGAAAAAGATTTTTATCTGGGAAAAGTATTTTAATTTCACTTGTAGGAGTATTTTCAAGCCTAAGTAAAATATCATCTAAATCTTGAATACAGTTAGAACCTTCATACTGCTCAAAGTAATCACAACAAAAAAGTTTTTTAAAAATACGTTTAAATTGAATGGGTGTAGGATGTATGATATTTCCATTTCGATTTCGTACAGTTAAATCAAATTCTTTTAAGCATTCTTGATTTAACCTGTACGTACATATTGAATCTACTTTGGAATGATTTTCATGAGATAAATTTTGATAAAGACGTTTTAATCCAGCGATTGATATTAACCAGCCATTAATAAATTTTATTTTATAGTGTCTAGATATATTTTCCCAATCATTTTTCTTAGCATTAAATTTTTGAATTTCTAAATTTAAAAAATAATTAAACATTAGATTTAAAAAGTATTTTTGATAATAAGAGTTTGAAAATGGTAATGAATAACGTCTTAATTCTTCACGATTAGAAACCTCGGTAGGAATGGGATGTGAATTAAATAAATCAAACAGTTTATTCATGGAATCTAAGAAATCAATCGTATCGAGGGCATTATGTGGTAATTCATCATAAGAAACTAGAGTAGTCATCCCTGCAACCACTGTATGATTAAAAATGTCAGAAGCTAATTTGCAACTCAATTTTTGAAAACTATCAGGATTTAAATGAACTTTTGTTAATTTAGGTGCTAATCGATTTTGTTTACTATTATCAGAATCATAAAAATTGGTAAGATGAACTTTTTCTGCTATTTTGTTTAGAGATTTGAAACGATACTCGAAAAAGTGATTTCTAGTTGCTTTTAATAAATTAGGTGGATCATACATGTAAACAATTTCTTTTTCACCAACATTAAAGTAAGGGGTATGGGGGGTAATAGATTGTTGATCTGCAAAGCGCTTACAACTTGAACTTAAATCAGAAATCATGACTAATACATTAATAGAGATATTGGCCAACTTTTGGACAGCTTGGAAGATTATATTTTGCAGATCATACCCAGTGCAAGTAGAAGCAACAAAAAAATAACCTATAGGTTGTTTCCAAGAAGTATGTAGACCACGGATCATAAGGATTATAACTGATTTTGCAACATCGCAAGATTTAATAGAACCTGTGTTGTGAAAACCTGTTATTTGATCTCTTTTGTAATCAAAGAAAAGAAAAGATTTAAGCGACATTTCATTTACACACAAGATACATTCTTTAGACTTCATTTTCATAGAGTTTGCTTTTACTGCTAGAAGTTTAAACAAAAAGTCATTTAAACCAGGATTAATTTCCCAATTATCTGTAGTTTTTTGCAAAGTTCTAACAGATGGCAAACACCAAGATTTTTGAAGCAATCGAAATACTGAAGGACCTAAAAAATATACCATGAGTGCGAATTGTTTTGTCTCATAAGAAAAGTCATATGAATGTCCATGGGGATCTTGCAATGTTAGTTTGGACTGGACTTTAACAAAATTAGAAAAACCTTTATTGAGAAAATTGTCGCACATTAAATGGAAAAACTCTAATGTTGAAGACTTTTTTTCTTGGTCAGAACAATGTTTTTTTAATGTAAGGAATTTTTTATGAAGATCATTAAATAAATTTTTTTGGATACTTAGCATTTTATGAAGTTTAGTTTTTTCTGGTGTGTTGTTTGATAGAGCTAGATTTGTTTGAGTTTCAGAAGTTGAACTGTTGCCTAATTTTATACAAAATAAAATACAACATTAATATAATATTACTTGCTACACATAAATAAATAGGTATATTTACTTTTGGAAGTTGTACAAGACATGTTGGAGGATAGAGACTCAGTTTTAGTACAAGGAGTGGACTCCTCAGGAATAATTTTTACACTGTCGGTTTGTTTCGACTTCTCGTCAGGCCAGTTAAATACAGAAGGCACGGCATTCCAATTTAAGCGTTTATTAGTGTTGAAATCTGATTTGACAAAATGTTCTGAGCATAGTTTATATGTTCGATAACACTTTTCTGGACCCTTTTCCAATAGATCAGGACGTCGGCAGATTATAACCCACTTACAAAATCTAAAACATTACAAAATTATGTACCTGTTACAACATTGCTTAATCTAACAATACATTATTAATATTATATGAATTAAATTTACCTTTCCTTCTCCATTGGAAATCTATGAAGAGTAACAGTTGACGAGGGACCATACTTGTTAGGACATACAAGACACTTTACACCCATTTTAAAGTGGAAATGGGTAAAAAAGATTGGTGGATGGTTTATACAATATTATGATTAGGTTTTTTATAATATAAAACAAATAGTGCGATAAAAAATTTGGTTGGTTCAGTTCAGTGCTCGCAAATTTGCAAAATTAAACCATAGAATAAGAAAGTAAACAAAACTGAATACCAAAAAATAGATAGTTTGATAATATGACAAAACAAAATACTAAATAGACAATTGCTCAATTCGATGACAAAATTAATTAATATTCTGTCAAACCGAAATGCTGAATGCTGCTTGCTGATTGGCAAATAACTATTAACTTGTGGCCGTAGACCGTAGTGGCATAGTGAGTAGTGACTAGTGACTAGTGAGTGACCCGGTAATCGGCAAGAAAATGGCATCCAGTAAACGGTAATCAGCAATCGGCATGGCCATGACGACATGTCGGGACTAGCTTGGCGTTTTCCCGGGCAGTGCAGCCAACCGCGGCAAGAGGACCTACAAGAGTGAGTATAATTGTGGTGGTGGCCCGTCACATTTATAAGGTCTATGATTTTTGTATAATATATTATCACTTGACACTTTGATTTTTGATAGTGCCTGACGCCTGTTATTATCGTAGTGCGTCGCTCTCTCAGTTGACGTAAACTTTTCTTTTGTTTTGTTTTTGTTTTTCGTGAACAATATTTCACAATATTATTATAAATCATAATATATATTTTGTTCCACATCGCTTAATATTATCATTATTGTATCGCCATAAGTCATAGACTCATAACCCGCACGGTCTTGTATAAGACTTGAAAAAGCCGTTCAAAAGCCAATGACACAGATCACTGGGTAAGTTTTGCTTCCGAACCAGGAAATACGTCCTGCCTTTTTCGTAACGACAACAACGGTTGTAATAAATAATAGCGATGCCACTGCATGGGCTGGAAGTAACCGGTCGCAGACGACACGAAACGTCGTGGTCAGTGCAGTCATTTCAAATTTTTTTTGTTGTTGGTGCCAAAATGTTTGCAAGCCATTCAATACCGGGCCACATTTTTTTATTTTTTGGTTGGGGGGGGGGTCAAGTGGAGACAAAAAGTCAAAAACTTTAGAATATTTGTATAATTTATTTGATATGTCACTTATATTAGTATGAATATATCTCAATATTATTACTATTTTTGACGAACTATGTGTAGGTACATTTAATGTATTTATTTTATATTGTGGATACCAGTGTACAGTGGTATTTACATTTGGTAAATAAATGTATTTGTATAAAACACCTTTATAATAAAATACCTAACCGATCTTAACCTGCACATTTTTTCTCCTTGCATGCTCAAAATATAGCTAGCTTAATAAAACCGGAAATTTATATTATGGGTAGGTACCCTTCTTCATAACGTTTGTATTATAATTTCATCAATATTATGATATTGTGGGACCAAAAAAACCACATCAAACATTCTTGGAAATTAAACATTAGTACAATACATCTTTTTTTAATACTGAAAAAATATAAAATGTATATAATATAATTAATATAAAACACTTAGGTATATCGGGCATCGGCGCTTATATTTATTGTTGGCAGGCCAAAGAAGGCGTTTTAAAAAAAAGTTGGTGCAAATGTACACCATGCACCCCCCAAATGACGCCCCTGGTCGTGGAATGGATCGTTTTCCAATGGCGAGTTTCATCTTTAGGCGGATAACCCACTCGACCAAGGTGCGCGTGGCGTTAAGTGAATAAAATTCTGGTGGCGTACCTATAAGTTATCTACAACCTACAAGGCTACAACTAAAATCCAACAGTTATTAAAAATTATTATTTTTCTAAATCAGATTGTCCCCCTTTCCCCCACCTCCCTTAATTTTTAGCTACACTGCATTTCCTGGACAAATATATCCTCCCGGATAACTACACGATAAATTGGCTCAACTATGTTCCTTGGTTTTTTGTTAATCCCAAAGTATTTTAAACATTGTACCGTAAATGTTTATCTTGCAATTTATTATTATATTTAAATAAAACAACATTATTTACTTGATAAAATTCTTAACATTTTAGAGTAAATAATACATCTATCATGGGGCGTCGTTTAACTGGACCGTCTGCGAGAACTCGTGATGCACAACCCCTTCCAATATCAACACAACATAATTCATCTACAACAAATGATCGAAACAATCTATCACAACATGATGAACTTATTCATTTTGTTGGTGGTTGTAAGTATTATATTTTGTTTAAAATAATATCTAATTGAGGTATATGCATAATGTATCCCGATGTACCTATAGCTAAAGTTATATTTCCTAACTCCAACACCTTTCAGTGACTGAAACTTCTATATAATACATTTCTTTTTTCATCTAGCCTTCAATATTATTTTAAGGGGATCGAAAGCTGTAATTGTTTTACTGTTTAACACGTTGACTGCCATGCGACCGCCGGCAGCCGCCAGCGGCCATAATAATATGTATCATTGGTACGCCAAGCAAATTTTCCAGTGTCATTACAAATTTGTATATATACTATTGAATTGTATGTTAACTAAAAAATTCAAAAAAAATATTAAAAATATGTTTATTACATCAAAAAAATTGTGATTATTCCCACTACGCCACGGCGCATTTTTCAGTTCATTATTGTAGCGCCATGGAAAAGCTAATAATATAAATCTAAATTCATTTATGGCAGCCCGCGGCCGTATGGCCTCCTAGGAATGATATGGTGCGGCAGCCGGCGGCCTAAAAATTATCGATACGTAATTATTTTTATGTGGCCGCCGGCGGTCGCATGGCAGTCAACGTGTTAATATACATGGAACATAGGAATATTTATGTGTTTTCATTCCGTCGTACCAATTGATCTAGAGCAGAATTCTAAAAAAGAAATTTAAATTTGTTGTAAAATCAATTTGAGATTGACTATCCTGAATTTTTAATTTTAACTTCTCCAAAAATTAAAATTTTCCATTTCTTTTTTTAGTACAAATTTATTTTAATATTTTGGGGCATAATATCAAAAATGTGGAGAAGTCGATCTGAAGTAGACATGACGACAAATTCAAATTTGTTTTTAGAATTCTTACCTCTTATCAATCGGTTCATTGAAATGTAAACACGTCAAACATCCTATATAATTTTCTATAATGTTTGTTAAACAAAGACAGAAAATCACCGTTTCCAATCCCCTCAAGCTATAACTTAACTAAACAACATAATTATAGATTTTTTTTTTTATTATTAATCTGCTATACTATTATTTCTACAGTTGTATTATTAATTTTATATAGTTATTATATTACTAAAACATCTCTATGTTGAAATTGTGTAGATTTTTAAAAATTTAGGTAGGTTATTAGTAAAATTAATGTTTTTATTCTTAAAAATATAAAACTTGATAAATACAATGACATATTATAAAACATTAAACTAAATAATCTTTTATACTAATATTTTTTAGTATATTATTTAAGTTTATGCACACTTGTAAATTAAATGATATTATTTAAAGATATTTTAGAGCATTCTTAAGAATTACCTATTAAAACAGTTAAGTTCTATAACACATTATCTCTGAATAATTCTATATACTTTCAAATTAAATGTTATTTATAAATAATATTATAATTTTTAATGGCATGTGATATGTATAACATAAAAATATAAAACATACATTGTAAACTTTTATTTTTTTTTAAACTTAAATAAAAAATAATCTGTTTGACTGTATATTATTATAAGCTGAGGAAGAGTTACGCCTACTAATTTGTAATTTGTTATTTCTAATGTTGTAGCATGGAATGTTATTTTTCAAGAATATCAAAATGGATGCCAAGGATCTAATGGTAAGTTCCTTATCCTTACAAATTATTAAAATTCACTAACTATGAGGCTACTTAATAAATTAAGTATCCACATTAAGGATAAGTGTATCTGTACTTAGTTGTATTTACAAGTAACATACAATTTTGTTTAAGTAATAAGTTTATTCTTTATTTTTTTATTAATGCTGTGATAAATCAATTAATGTAAAATAAATTAGGTACAACTAAATTACTTAAAATGAATAACATATCATTAACAGTATAATTAAGTAAATAAGGCAATACCCAGTGCCCAGTGACGAATGCTTAACCCGAAGCATGGTCATGCTCATTTATAAATTATTATACACTCATAGTCAGTAAACAGTCGAACAATAATATGTATCATCAGTAAAGCTCAACAGAATAAGAATGCACTGGGTAGTTTGTATCACCTTAGAACCTATTACAGCTGCTAGTAGAACAGTTCTCAGCTCAACCTATATTTCCCTGCGATAGCAACTGCTATAGTCCGTCCATTCTAAGAACGCTACTGGGCGATGACCAAAATTTGTCCGATCTTGCGCATTCCCACCACCAAACATTCCCGAACGCTGGCCACCGCCACCTTCTCCGCCACCACTGCTACATGGTATAGTGGGAGAAATTTTGGTACGAAACCTCGGAGCTCGGTCATTTGGATGCGCGAACGGGTAGCGTTCTTAGGATGGATGGATTATATATAGCATAGGGCTCTTTGATTATTTTTTTACCACTCGATTATTAATTTCACGTTCTAATCAATTATTTCGATTAATCAAAAATTAATAATCAAATCGAAAATCGATTTTTAACGACCGATTAATTGATAACCGATTTTTTTTTATGACTGATTAACATATTAATCGATTTTTTACCAAGGGTAAATTGATTCTTTAACTTTTACACAATATTTTAAACGAGACTTTCAGGATGCCCTGTAGATGTTTACTTTTATATTATATTATTATTATTTTATTAATCGGAAATTCAATTAATTGATTAATAGAATTTCAATTATTTGGCGATTAATCGTATTTTATAAAAACTGTAAAATAATTGATAAAAAAAAATAATCATTGAAATAATTGAACAGCCCTAGACTCTAGCACATGTTTTATCATGTTTTGTTAGTAAAAGATTTGATAAAATCATAATGTGTACCTATGTATAATTTTACATTAAATAGATGAAAATTCTGTAATACATTATCATTTAATATAAATTATAATTTACATTTATACTCAAAAATGATAAATAAATACTTAATAATAATTGTATACTCTTAATGCAGATATATACATTTATTTTTTCCTACATTAAATTTAAATGTAGTTTTTTAATTTATGAGAATTAATGATAATAGATATACTATTTATTTTAATCTATATTTTTTAGGTCGTTTTCATATACAGTTCTATGAAGAAGGAAATAGTGATACATTAAAAGGTATTATGCTTTAGTGTTATTAAATCATATTTGAATTTCTTTATTGTTTATAAATTAAGTGTATAGGTATTAATAAGAGAATAGTTCTTTATATTAGAATTATTGTTAATTATATCCTAATAAGCAGAACTTGCAAGTTTGTGCATTTTAATATCAATTTTGTTAAGTTGTAAGGCTGTAGCATTATAAATTCAATTTATTTTTATGATAGAATTTGATTGTCCTACCTATCCATTTACCTCAAACATACTTAATATTATAATATTTATATTCCTAGTACTTAGTCCAATTATCAAGTATGCTCCCCTGCCACTTATACAACTACACCGCAATTTTGCAATGTGACACCTGTCTTATAAAGCCATTATCATTTCACCTGTAGTGTTAGATGATTTTAAGATATCACAATTCATTATAATGTGCAATTTTATTTTTTAGTATATATTTACCATATTTTAGTATGTGTACAAATATATAAAATACATAATTAAAATTAAAAATCATAGTTAAAACTTAAAATTCTTAAACCGAATGATTCACCAAGCATGCTCTCCCTCCTTCTTTTTCAATAATGCAGTTATTAAAAATCTGATTTCTGAAGTTTTTAAATATACTTAAGACCATAATTTTAATTCCTAGAATTATTTTGTACCACTTAGTGAGATATAAACTTCTGTTTTTCAAATAACAACCTCTGTTTTATACGATAAATTATTTAGTGCTTAATTTTTTTTGACACATAAAAATCAAAGTTTGATTTGTAATTTTAAAGTAATTTAACTTTGTATATTAAAGATAATAAGTTCATGATATTATGGGTTTGGAAGTTATAGTGAGTATGGTAATTAGAAAACTTTTGAAATTTATATTTATTTATCAATATTTTCAATTTATAAAAATAGTCCTAGTATTGTAAATATTATATCAGTTATTTTATATTTTTGTTAAGCCATTTTTATGGACTATTTATACATAACATTAAGCATAATAATAGAAATAACTACTCTTTTGAATTAGGTACATCAACATTTTTAAAAAATGTATCCACTAAATAATTCAAAGTAAAGAAGATGGTTTTCATTTCAAAAACAGCTGTTGTATCACTACAAAACACTCCTTAAGTAATTAAAAAAATCTTAAGAATTTAAATTTCTAACGAATTATATGTATTTTAAAATTGCAATATTTTAATATGCCCCATTTAATATTCTTTCCATTAAATAATATTGATTAACACAATATGGATTTTTCTGAATTAAAATTTGCTGTATGTTCTGAATGATAAGTCCTCTTAAGTGTAATATTACTGTCATTATTGATTAATAAATGCATGTATATTCAGATCTTTTAGTACATGAACAAAATTTAAATTGATAATAATAGCAAAATATGGATGTTAAGTTTTATGTTATAATATAGGTAATATTAGTAATTACTTAATATTTTATGGCTGCAGTTATTTGAACTGCTTACATCTTATTTAGAGTGTAAATATATTTGAATCATCTAAGTGTAAAATAAAAATTGTTATTAATTTGTTAAACTTTTTTGGTAGGAGTACATGTGCCAGAGAATAATGCTTACAACTGTAGTATTGGCACAGCGACACTTTCAAATTTAAATTTATAAATTTTAAAACGGCCTTCCTTATATTAAATTGGCATGATTCCTAAAATAACAAAAACATTTTTTATTGTTGTTGTTTATAGTATAAATAAAAGTAGTACCTATAATAATTGCAATAGTTGAATTTGTATTTGCGTTTTTGCAAACTGAGGTCTTATTAATTTCTGTATTTGATATCGGTTCTATTAAAGTTATGAAACAAATTAATGCTTATGATAATAGTTTATATAATTTTTATGTATTTTATTGGCTTACATGCCCTACCAAATAAAGCGTTATTTTGTGGCTTATTATACATAACTATTAATGAAATTTTTCTAATACATTCTCAATATCTTTCTTATGTCTGTATACATTGCCATAGTTAAGTTAGGTACTTGTATACATATTTTTTAACAAATGAAATATAAGAGTTCATTGTTAATAACTATAATTTTAGTATATTAGTTATAAATAGGTATTAATAATTTCATAAATTCCTAACTTGTAAAAATAAAAATTGCATATTATATATTCATAGAGCTGGTTTTAAGTTCATAAAATATCAATAAACTGTAATTATTTGATGTTTTGGTTTATGTGTTAGAATATAATATATTTTTATTACTAGTATTATGTTCAATAAATATTAATAACAACAATTTTATATAATTACTAAAATATTTTGTGTAGTAAGTAATTGTTGATGTTTTAATTTATTTCAGGATTTAAACCCTTTGATCTAGAAGCTTGGTGGGGAAAACAAACCATCCAACGATACCAACAACGTTCCTAATGTTATTATACTAATATATTGCAATGTATTTTTCCGTTAATTTTTTTTTCCCAATTATTTAATATACAAAATGGCTTATGCCTAATATCTTGATACTGACAATTAAGTTATACATTATTATCTGCTATCAGTTATTAATTATCAGCCTCATGTAGGTATGTTCCAACAATGTATGACATGCCATAATATTTTTATAATTAAAAATTTTATCATGATTGGCAAAAAAAAATTAACAAGTATTATTTAATTTAATTTACTCTTTCAAAACTAAAATATTATATGTATATATTTAGATTTAGAGAGTAGGGATTAAAATATATATTTATCCCCATCAATAAATTTGACATTCCAAGTAATTGGATATATTTTTAGAGTAGCATGTATATTCGTTATTATATATTTTATTTTTATCATAGTTAACATGATGTTTTTCATCTTCAATTTATTTTATTTTAAATTATTATATGTTTTTAATAAAATACTTATAATTTGATGATTATTATTAATTTATCCATTAGTATTATTTAAAAACTCAGAAATATTCAAGGTTCTAGTTAACAAAACTTTATTATTGCTATAATATTATTTTTTATTATTGATACATTATAAACTATAATTTTTCCCATTATTATTGAGTATTTAACCAAACCAATGTAGATAATTCAACATTGTAAATTGTAATATTTTATTAAGTAAATCAGAAATGTACTTGTAATGATATAAATATGTAGCTATATATTTTATACATAATTTAGCGTTAACATAGTTAATATATTATACCGACATTCTTCTAAAAATCTAATTGTATTTAAAGTTATCCCTTTTTTTCTATTTAAAATAAAATATATTATTTTATACTGAAATTGAAACTGGTGTTTTCTTTATAACATAATATTATGTTTTGTTTTTGAAATTTTGACATACCTACTATATTAGGTTTTGACATCCATGTAATATTTTAATCTTGTTAAGATGTATAAACAGTTGTAAAAATGTATTTTTATGTGTCACATAATATATTTAAAAAAGAAAGGAACTCAGTTTATTCTGGTTTATATGTCTTTTCTTTACTTGGATTACTTAGTGAGTTAAAGTTCTATTTATTTTGATTCAATTAATCCTTAATGGCACTTAAAACGTTTACTATATTATTGACTATTATACTAAATAGTAAATACTAATGTTTAAAACATTGAATTTAATGTACTATTATAATTGTATTAAAAATCATTAATTGGAGAAAGAAGAACGATTAAACTTAATACCTATGATTGATTATGCTAATTACTAAACTGGAAGTAGGTATATTAAAAATTGATACGAATTACTTACCAGTTGACTGTTAACTATATTTTGACTATTGACTTACCTGTATTTTATTCAAATATAGATCTACATTTCAAATTATTTTTTATGATATAAACGTAATAAACACTTCATAGTTATTTGTTTAGTGCCTACCTATATTTTTGTAATAATGCTTTGATTAGTACAATCTATAAGTTTGTATTAATCTAGGTGGTCCTACTGATAATCAGCTCATTAAACCATATATTATTATTATGTAGGCACTTCTTGGCTAAGGCCAATGTCAAGAAATAGATCATTAAAAATTGTATAGTGGGTAATCTTAACCTAAAACATATGCTTATCTTTTTCTTTTAGAGACTTCAACATTCAACAACAAGTTTATCACCTTAGATAGACACATTAATTTCTTGTTTGTTGCAGCGTACCATTAGATGTACACATAGAATATAGATTCTGTCGATGGCTACCTATAACAGTGTGCATCACTATTGAAGTATTGACCGTGGCCACTTATTTTGTTTTTGTACCTATGCGTTTTGCAAAACATTTTTTGATTTTGCATTCTAGAGGGCCATTGCTCTGTGTTGTTTTGTTGTGTACAGAAACAATACTTATTAATTTATGTATTGATCTCGTTATTATTTTTATCTACCTTTAGGCATAACGATTGATTGGACAATCGTTTTTTTTCGCGGTTCTCGCATTTAATTTTAATAACTGTGACTACGCAGTACGTAATGCCTTTTTATTATGATTAGGCAATGGACTATGCAGTATGCCCCGTGTGGTGGTAACAATATTACGGCCATCGCTCGTCGAGGTCTGAGATCATTGTTGAAAAGGCATTAATTCTGTCTCACGTCTCAGGTCGTGTACTAGTCACTGTATAGTACACGGACTGAGAAGGAGCAACGCTATAATATAGCGACCAGTGTGCGATGAGTGCGAACAGTTTATCAGATTATTTTTTTTTCGCCGCCCCGGGATCACGATGATCGGTTTTGTTATATCATATTATTATTATTATTATAATTATTATTGTAGTGATCGCGAACCCTATGCGCAGGAGTCCGGTAGAATATTATCGAGAGCTTTTAGATGAGTAGATGACTCGGTGGTAAAATCTACAGAAATTGCCGACCAGTGAACGAACTGTTTTGAACAAGGTAATTGTGTATTAATTTTTCGAATAAAAAGAACGTCATTCGGTTGCTCCGACTGAAATCTCAATATTTGAATATTATATGATTTATATGCATCACGCGAACGGCGAAGTTTGCCCATATCTATTGGAAGGGGTTTCCTCGAGCTTCCGGTTCGAGCATATCCACTGGCCATTTCCCATATTGTTATTATAATATTGCCGCTGGTCATGTAACTACATTATGCCTACCGCCTACGCAGTACCTACCGGCTACCATTGATTATAAATATTATGCTGTTTACAATCAATGGTATTGTACGTAGACGTTCGTCGACAAAACATGAGGGTTACGTTTAGGTTAGATCGTATACTCTATCATAGCTCGTAATAATTTCTCTATTCTGTGGTAATAATAAGTACCAATCTAATAACTGATAACTCCCATAGATTAGTCAATTGTATTGCGTATGAGTGTTTATCCTATCCGGCGTTGTAGAAAACACTTCCTAAAAGTATTTCGACAGCTGAACATTAACCCTCAAAAATATATGATTATTGTTGTATATTTTGTTTATTGCTGGATAGGTGTTGAACTCAACCCATAACCGTCTACAAGCTTTGATTTTTGGTTAGGTTTTGCGACTTAACTCTCTTTTATGTCTACGGTAGGTATATTATATTTTATTGAAAAAGTAAAGACATTGCTACAATATTATATTCTTAAAATATTGATCACAGTTTTCAAATTATTTTCCCGAGTAGGACGTGCTTACTCTTAAAAACTTTAGAAAAAAAAGTAGGCACCAATAAGCGTCGATCATTTCTCAATATTTTAATTTTCCAGCGAGATATGAGCATTTTTAATTTGTACCTACCTGATATTTCACATTGAAAAATCGCCGACGCTTAAGCACATAACTCATAGGCGCAATTTGAACTAAGGTTAAAATTCTGGGGAGCTGAAGCCCATCACCTAACTAAACTATTATTATTTAAAGTAACCCATAGAGGGCTTATATCTAAATCAATAAGGGATATATTTTTATTTTTTTAGGAGGGGGGGGGGGGTGCTAAGCCCCGCAGATGCAGCAGATAACTTGCTTCAGAATTAAAATATCAAAAAAAAGTAAAATCCCACGTTGTGCCCTAGATTAAGGGTTCTCAACATTTTGAGGTCCATGCCCCTTTCATACTATTTTATGAGGTCACGCCCCCTTCACCACTTGAAATATGTTTAGTATATATAATAATAATATGTTCTGATATTAAAATATTAATATAATAATGTGAATACTGTGTGATTTTTTTAAGGGGCCTCGCTACTGCCGTCAATTTTAGCTGAAAATATCTTAAGTATTGACAAAATTAAAGTTAGTTAACGTTGTCAGTTTTGATTCTGAAAAACGATTTTAACTCACCAGAAAATTGTCTATAGATCCTTCGAAGCACTTTATAAAAACGAAATTTTATATTATTTTGAACTGTAATTGAAAACTTGAAAATATCAACTTTTTCGAATCATAGTTAAAATTAAAATTAATATTAAAAACGGAAAATGTTTCGTACGATCTACAGACATTTTTCTGCGGAATTTAAATATTTTTTCAGAATCAAAATCAGACAACGTTAACTAACTTTAATTTTGTCTAAACAAATGTATGTTTATGTAAAATTCGTGTAGTGAAATTGATAATATGGTTATCGAGTTATTGACATGTGTATGCTCGTACGAGTGAGGATACCCGCGTGTAATTTCACTCACACTAATAATCATTTACAACTAACACATAGAGCCCGGGCGTCTAATCAAGATTACAAATTGCCTAAATGTTGCCCCTTAAATAATGACCGCAGCGAGGCCCCTCAAGCATGCTTGTTGCTCATCCTACTATTATACTTCAATTATACATGTATTAAAATTCTGATTTTTGTAATTTTTAAATACCCACGGAGACCATATTTTCGATATTTTCAATACTTGACAGTACAAACTTCTGAAAGAGGACCCCCTCCCCTTTTCACCTTTAATTATTAAACAGATATTTTTTTTTAAGAATTTTGATGTATCTAAATTCAAATTCAAACGACTAGTGTTTGTATGGCTGTGTATCAAGGATAATATGTCTATGGTAATGGCCAATGGGCTAAGTAGATGTGGGGACTTGGATGAAAATCTTAGTAATTACTATTGATCTATCAATATAAATAACTTGTAAAAAAAATTTAAGTATAATGAATACTACATATAATACCTATTACATAATAAAGCTTATAGTTTTGTAAAACCATATTTAAGGATTATTAGGATCTATTATATCCTTAGTACAGACATTTTAATAACTCAGAAACTACTTGTTAGAATTTCGATTTAGATATACATCAACATTTTCAAGAAAATTACCCGCTAAATAATTTGCAGTAAAAAGTATTCTAAAAATCAGAATTTTAATAAATGTAATATTAAGAAATGAGGGTGAGCATGTTTAAAATATCAGGCCTTCCTGGGGGGCACCCCCTCCAAAAAAAAGGTCTAGAACCATTTCCCTCGATAATGTACTTACCTTTGAATTTAGGTCAATTTACTCTATAATATTAAAAATAACAGTGTAAAATGTTATGCTATTGTATAAGACAGAGACAACTTATACACACGCGGTTCCAAGTGTAGAACGATTAACGTCCTCTTAACATATTAAGCTGTTGTCACGCAGTTAGTGGTGGTGTGACGGCTGATATAGACGAATCAGATGGTACGATTGGCCATCGGATTAATTTAAGAACACCCGACGGTGGCGCGTGATCGGCGTGAAAAAAATAAATTAAAACAAAGAGCGATTGTCGAGAGTTTCAAAACCGCCGACGGAAAAACTCATAGCCATCGTTATGGATTTATTCGGCATTTCCGCAGTGTCGAGTCCGCCAAATCGTATTAATTTTTTACGGGTCGAATAACAATTAACATACAGGTATCGTGTACTATACCCAAGCGGTTTTTGTTGTGGTGGTGGTGGACTTTCGATTTCATTGCAATATCTACGTGCCCGGGGCCAAAGGTAAGAGCTTATAAGCAATAATATATTGTATAGTCGTGTCACAATATAATAACATGAACACTATAAAATTAACGAGAGCGCTTAAATATAGTCTCCCGCAAGTGCGTTGCATTCGTCCGCTTTAATAATATAATTGCGCAGGTACGACCTACCTATATGACTGCTATTACAAACATATTATGACGCATAACATAATGAGTATATAATATAGATGACCGATTGAACCGTATTTGGTGGGGGGGGGCTGATACATGGCCACAGGTTGCTGTTGCTAGGGGTGGCTGATTTCTAGGGGCTGGCAAATTTTTTTCAAACGTTCACCGCATCAAACCGCTCTCACACCTCCGTCCACTTATTTCCTGTCCGATAACTTTTATATTTTGTAATTCGTTATCATTTATAGATAATAATATTATTTCCGTATGTCTCAACAATGAACCCCTAAATATCAACAGAACACTTAGTTTTATAAGAGACACTAATTTACATAAAACCTTGTAACCAAAAATTTAAATTATTTTTATTCTTTTCCTTTGTTATAATTTACTACATATTTTTAAGTATTTACCTATAATGTATTAATCAGTTTGTTAAAATTAATCGCGGCCAATGACCTATGCAGTCGAGGCCTTGTTCCTTATAATAAAAAAAAAAAAATATTATATTATTATTATTATTATTATATTTACCATCATCCCCACAAATGCCCTATATTAGCCGTATTAAAAATAAAAATAATATACATCAATCAAGATATGGTATAATTAAATAGTATACTGAGTTACCCAACTACAACCCAGAAACAAATTTTAAATGCTCGACTTTCATTACTTAATTTTTTATAAGTTTGTTTTAATTTAAAAATTGTTTTTTAAACTGATTTTTTTTGTTTCTCCCTTTGGCACCAAATCCCTAAATACGGCTCTATATCTACGTGTAATACTATATGCACGACATGTGTCCGTGATATAGGTATATAGGCATAAACCTACCTTTTGTGTGATACGATATTATACGATATACTGTACACTCTACTACCGAAGCTTGCATCTCGATCAGTGTCGTGATGACAAAATTTCAGACCCTGACGCAAATAGTAAAAAACAAATAAATATAGAATACATAATATATATAGGACATAGGTACCTATATTATATTAATATCACATATATGTGAAAATATTCTCATAGCTATAACACAGCTTATATAATGGCATTTCTAGGGGTGGCGCAATTTCTTCAGGTAAACACCAGTCACCGAATTCACGATAGCTTCAAAAATTTTCCAACTATTAGAATTTGATGAATTGTATAGTAGTTGTATAGACTGGGCTAGTGTGATATATTTGTGATCGATGATCATTATTGGAATACGGCCAAAACATGAGAGTGGTTATATACAAATCGTCGTATCATCGTGTCCCCTCGGGGTGTTACTATGACTATACCTGCTATATATAAAATTAATCCACGCTTCGATCAATTCATAAATGAAAGAGACAGTATTATTGCAGTGCGCCAGTACGGCAGTACGTATAATATAGGTAGGTCCGTCGTCCGTGTAATAATCTATATTATTATAATTTATAGATTACTTTCGTCACAGACCACTGTGTACGCATGGGGGGACGGGCTGAAGCTAACCTAACCTAACCCCCCCCCCCCCCCGTTGCCCGTATTATTATTACCTTTTCCAAGCCTTGGCTATAAAAATTTAATATTTTATACATTTTAAACTACAAATAAATTGTGGTTTTGTCAAAATTTGAACTTTAAATGCTTATATAATATAAATTATAATATTACCTATTCGCGATTGAAAGGAAATATAGGTAGCGCACTAGTCGATACTAATGATAAGGCTAACGGGGAACATGGTCGCCCGGTGGCCGAGGCCCGTGCTGTTTAGTCTACTTACTACTTTCTAGTTTCTACTTAGTTTACTTTGTCTACTTTCTAGTTTCTACTGCAAGCAGTAGTTGACGCTCACGCTAAGTTTATTGTAATAGAAGTTGGAGATTATGGTCGGTCTAGTGATAATGGGATTTTCAAAGAATCCTTATTTGGTAGACAATTAATTCAAAATAAATTAGATTTGCCAGCGCCCAGCACCCAAAAAAAATTGATCAAAATATTAATGAA